TCTTTTAATCATGAAACAATATTGGACCATTGTTTGCGATTCATTTTATATTTTGTTATTCAATATATTGTTGATTGTACTAGTTGTACTACTACTACTTGTACTAATAATAATAATGCTTAATTATTGATGAGTGATTTTCCATCGCGGGAGGCAGGCGCGGATCCAGAGGGGGAAGGGGGGAGAACGGGCCTTGCCCCCCCCCCCCCCGCAAAAAAAATGAGAGAGAGAAAGAAGGAAAAGAAGGGAAACAGAAGAGAAACGGGAAAGAAAGAAGAGGAAGAAGAAAAGACAAGGGAAAAAAAGAAGGAGATCGGGGGGGGGGGGCCGAAAGGGCTTTGCCTCCCAGTTGTTACCTCCCCCCCCCCCCCCCATCAAAAAATAAGATAGAAGGAAGGAAAGGGAAAGAAAAAAGGAAAAGAGGAGAGCTAAAAGGGAACAAAAAAGAGGAAGAAGAAAAGAAAAGAAGGGGGATATCAGTTGCGATTGATCCCGCCAACAACGTGTGGATCGGGGGGCGAAAGGCCCTTGCCTCCCCCAGCAAACCTAAAACAGAGATAAGGAAGGGAAAGGAAGAAAAAGAGGAGAGAAAAGGAAAGAAAAAAAAGAGAAAGGAGAAAGGTAAGGGAGATCAGTTACGATTTTTCCCGCCAACAAGGTGTAGATCGGGGGGGGGGGCACTGGCGTACTGATGAGGAGGAGTGGGCTGGGGGGGGGGCTGACAGATGTCCCCAAATATAAATCAAACATGGTTTATTTCTTATTCGATACCGGGGATTTACAAATGTTGCAGAAATGACATAATTTTCCGAGATTTTTCCTCAATGTATAGTAAATTATACTTTTGTATGCGTTTGTTGGAAAATGGCAAATTCATAAAGAAAGAATAGTGCCCTGCCTTTGACACAAAATAATAAGGTGTCAACACTTTCTCATCTGACCGTGATTAAATGCGTAAAACCTCTGAGCTTCCGGGGGCTCTGCCCCCTGGATTCCACCTAGGGCCCTAAGGCGGGCACCTTGATGCTCATCTGACGGTTATGTAATGTATAAACCCCCTGAGCTTCTGGGGGCTCCACCCCTTGACCCCCGCAGGGGCTTCGCCCCCAGACCCCACGCCAATTTACGCAACGCTCTTCCTAATCGTAAATACCAACCCCCCACCCCCCCCCCCCCACCTACCTAAGCGGGGCCTGCATGTATTGGGTGGTGCGGATTTTGTTTGTTTATTCCCCCCCCCCCCCCGTCCCCAAACTTTTTTGCTCATTTCGCCACTGCTGGTGTCACCATCACGTACCAATATTTGGCTCGCATAATTTCAAATTGGGCCCCCTCCCCCCCCCCCCCCCCCCCCCCCAAGAAATCCTGGATCCGCGCCTGGCGGGAGGCCCTTTGATTTGAGAAAAGTAGGAGGTATACAGTGTATAATTAGGCGTGATCGACCCCCATTCTTGCCTTTTTCATTGCCAATAAGGCTCATTATTATTAGGCCTTACAAGTCATGATTAACACTGATAGAATAGAGGTAGGCCTAGCTATTGGAAGAAATAGAAAAGACAGGTTAAGAAGGCCTACGTTGTTTTTGAGACTAAAGTCAACTAGTACGATTAAAAGACTCAGTGCCTCTGTGGCTCGACCATTCCAATTATTTTTCTTTTGTTCCCTTGAGTCTTAATGAAGCATTAAGCCCATTAACGTAACACATCCTAATTTATTAAACGATTATTCCTGTAGATTAGAAAATGATCTACATGCATCCTGGGGAAACTACGGTCTGTTTACTGCCTGTCTGTTCATAATCTTGCTTAATTTTGTTATTTTGCCAAGGGAAATAATTTGTTCCCTCACCTTAATCATGATCATATTAAGGCCTACTTAAAAGGATACTTCCCACTGCCTGTCTGCTCATAATCGTGCTTATAATCTCTAATTGAATATCTAGCGCTCCGATAACCGGATGCTGCGTATGTCTGTCTACCCCCCCCCCCCCCACACACACACACGAACACACAAACAATCAACAAAAACATAGAATTCCGTGAGCTAGCGAAACAATCTTGTTTCTGTAACTGAATAATTTCGCATTACAAAACTAAAATACAATATCAAATATATATATATATGTATATATCTATTTTCTGTAATATCATTACGTTTGATATTGCGATTATCTTGTCATTGTTTATATTATGTGGAAAATGAAATGACTTCGCTTTGCATAGATGGCGACCGTGATCACAATAACTAATCGAGAAAAACAAATTATGACGCCTAGAATTTGGTGCATTTGTTATTTCAATGTTATTTTGTCACAAAAATTCGTTTACAGAGACCAGCTAATTTATTGATGCCCAAATGGTATACTCTCTAAAAATTTAAAGGGGTTGAGGAGTGACCACTTTTTCAACATGCTAGGGCCAGACTCAACATTTTAAGTACTGGATCCAACATGTTCAAAGTGGTAATCTACCATTTTTTGTTTAGCCTGAATAAATTTACAAGTCATGTACTTTTTGGCCAGTTGCCCATCGAATTTCACATCGAATTTCGCCCCAACCATGGGGAGGGGGGGGGGGGTGATCCCCTATATTTCAAAATCATGGACATGCCACTGGATGTAACTTTAACTGAATAGACAACCACGAAGCACAGCCTAATAAATACCAATGACGTCACGAAACAAATGTAAGATATTTCTGAAGATTACGACGTTGAAAGATTCCATATTTCTCACACACACTATACACTCTTAAAATAGACTTCAAGGATTTTTTTTCTTCTATCGTTTGGTTGTACATGTATATTGTAGTACGAGTTTATGTCTTATAAAATCCCCAAATGTATTCTGAACTTCGGGTACTATATGGAGTTATTCCAACATGCAGCCAAGATTTGAGGGCTAAATCAAGTTAAATTGAAACTGTGAGCAGAGGCGATGCGAGACCATTTTGAAGGGCGTGGGATGTGAGACCGACATGTCACCATCTTAAGTTGAAAATTTGAAATTTTGCCGTGGGAAGGGAGGGGGCACCCCACACATCGTCCCGTAACGCCCCTTCACGCTATTTGCAGGTTTTTAATGAACCCCATCGAATGTTGAAACAGTAGAGTTTACGTAAAAAGAGGGGGAAGAGATTAGGAGAGGGAGAGAGGGGGAGAGAGCGAGAGAGAGAGGAGGAGAAATTGAGAGCGAGGATGAAGAGAGAGGGTCAGAGACGGGGGGGGGGATGGAGAAAAAGTGAAAGGAGCCCTTTCTCCTCCTCATCCTATGTTAATGTTGTCTTGAGTTAATTTAATCTGCCGAATAATTCAGGTCGCCCCCCCCCCCCACACCCGAAACCCGAAACCTCATAAATAGTGGCACCCATGCTACACTGTTTGTGACTTCATTACTCATTTTATATAATTATGTAATATATTAATGTAGACCCACTAATTCCAATGCAAAACAATGCATGTTTGTTGATTGATTGACCGATCACGGGATCACTGGGATCACTTGAATTATTAATTGACCTCAATATGGAATTATTAATTTATAGGAGAACAACTTGGCCTCTTGTATAGTTCATGTTTCAAAACGATATCAGTATTTCCTATAATGAAGTCTTGTTCTTGGCAACCTTTCAATTTTGTCTTTTTCATCCATGGAGGAAGAGCAATTATCTAAAAATATACTTCCTTCTAAAAAAAAATGATAATGATACAACAACAAAAAATAAAAGAATGTGGGAGGCTGCAAAGGGCAGGATTGGGTAAGAATTCTACAATTCTAAGCCTATAATGATCAAAGGATTAAAGGAGCTAGTCGACCAGATCTAGCGAAAACAAAAGAGAAATTGAATAACTTGTGCATGCGAAAATGTTTGAAAATCAGATGTTGGTGAAAAATTCAGCCTGAATATTGTCGTTTCGTGTGATTAAAGAAGAATTTCGCAATTCCATCCTTTTCATTGAACAAGAAAACTGATGTAAGTTATATTACAAATGAACTGCACTTTTGCTGACTATTTATTGCGCACTGCATGCCTGGGATATAGGAACGGATATATTGAAGGAGACTGACTGAATCTAAAAGGGGCCTCTAGGTGTAGGGGCTTTTAAAAACTTTATAGCACAATCAGAACAAAACATGTACATAAAAATTAGTGATATTTTTGGTTTTAAAGGAATCATCCTCCCCCTACTAGCACTTTTATAGGGTGGGTCATAATTTATGGCCCCTTTTTTTAAACACAAGTGAAGCACAAAACTCTATGACGAATGAATGACCTTTCGTTGTGTGTGTGTGTGTTTTGTGTGTGTGTGCGGGAAAGGGGGTCAGTGAATCTTTGAATACAGTGTGTGCCCCCTCTTTTACAAAGTCCTGGATCCGCCTCTGCCCTCCCCTGCCCCCATCCCCTCTCTCTCTCTCTCTCTTTCTCTCTCCCTCTCACTCACTCTCTCTCATTATAATTCTGTTTCTACAAAAAGTCATAATTTCTTTCAGTTTATAAACCTTTTGGCGACCTGAAATACGACTATCAGTAGGTAAGATCACAGTACCTCAAACTTTCTTCAAGTTTCCCCCTGCTGTGGCCCTTCCACGCACCCCTGGGTGTGTCATGATTTCGTCATCGTCAGACAATGATCGAGCGCGCCTCCGCTTTCGGTCTCGCCTGATTAAGAGCACACGACCTTCTCCTCGATCTTCATAAACCGTCAATTAGTCCGCTCTTTTCCCGCCTAATATCCGCCAAGGAAATTTACATCCAGGGTCCTACGTCTCATTGCATATTTCACGGATATTATGGATCATTATGATCATCTGACTTGATCTTGTCAGTCCGTCTGCGCATCCTGAAGACACGGGTGGCTTATATACATCGTTAATTCTCCTAAACCAGTATATCTTGATCAGAATTTCTCCAAGGAACATCTCCGTGAGCAGTAATTGGCTTCAACACTTCTAGCTGAACATTATTTTGGAGATTTAGTTGCCTTCGCTCCTATTTAATGAGTCAATGAGTGGAGGATAACAACTCTCAAGGAGCTAGCCATATTTCAACATTAAGTATAATGTTATTGTTCTGCGTGATTCTAGTATTTGTATCTCAACATTATCGTTCATTTAAGATTGGAATATCAGGGTACATCAAAAGTAAATACTAGTAGATAATGTTTATTCATCAGTTTTTTTACCCTGCGAGATGTCGAATGGAAATATAAACTTTTGTTGAAAAACTTGTCGTTTGATCAATCAAAACTTTAACATTCATGTGATAAGGAACAAAACTTGAAATCAATAGCAATTGATATGAAGATGCATCTATCCCTTGGTGGGAATTTGGAAGGACATCCGGAAGTAGAGAACATTCTGTTGTATAACAAATAACTGCGAAAAATGAAACTGACATTTGTATGCAGTTCTTGATTATCCATTGTTCAATTCGAAGTATTTAAACAAATAAAGAACACACGCTGACGTCAACCTATGATGCCACGGAGATCAGCACGTGGGATTGATTATTTGTTTCGATTCTAAACTCTCCCTCGCGAATATACGGAACAATACAGAGCATTTATATTTCTTGGGTAAAATAACAAGTTCTTCATATCGTTCTCGAGTTTTGCAAAAGTTTAGTCGAGAGTAAAGCCAGTGACAGTCAGGAGCAAAACAGGTTGACGAGTGTACCGTGATAGTTGGAAGCAGAAGAACGCGAGAAAATGTTGACAGACTAGGTAAGAGATAAAATTGATCTGTTGATTATTGTGCTAATTGTCCATTTTTTAAGTGTCAAGTAAACATCATGATACTACACTGTTGGTCATAATGGTGGAATATTTATTTTTACCCCAGTTTAGGGAAGGATTTTTAAAAATTATTTATTTCTAATAGATCTAGATAATGGCATAGATTCTCAGATTTTATTGAATATTAATTTGCGAATGTTTGTTTTGCGTGACTGCTTAATCATATCTGTGCTACTATGCTAATCAGCTAAGGGACCTACGTCCTTAAGTCATAATTGACAGTAATGAGGATTAATGCCTCACAAAAGGGCACTAATATATAGCTGATCGACACGATTTTTATCCTGAGGCTTCACAGTAACAAGGCCATTGCTTAGCCCCTGAATCATGACTGTACGTAGTGTTTGCTAGGGTACGTGGCCCCTTCCACAAATCCCCCAAAACGAAGAAAATGCAATAAATTGTCAAAAGTTCATTGCTTTTTCCCCCGGCCCCCAACAGGAAAAATTCGTCTGTAGGGCCATGCATTATGGTTCAAGGCATGGCCATACAGAGGAATTTTTCCTGTTGGGGGCCGGGGGAAATGCAATGAATTTTTGAAAATTTATTGCATTTTCTTCGTTTTGGGGGATTTGTGGAAGGGGCCACGTACCCTAGCAAACACTGCGTACAGTCATGATTCAGGGGCTAAGCAATGGCCTTGTTCCTGTGAAGCCTCAGGATAAAAATCGTGTCGATCAGCTATATATTAGTGCCCTTTTGTGAGGCATTAATCCTCATTACTGTCAATTATGACTTAAGGACGTAGGTTCCCTAGCTGATTAGCATAGTAGCACACATATGATTTAGCAGTCACGCAAAACAAACACTCGCAAATTAATATTCAATAAAATATGAGAATGTATGCCATTATCTAGATCTATTAGAAATAAATAACTTTTTTAAATCCTTCCCTAAACTGGGGTAAAAATAATTATTCCACCATTATGACCAACAGTGTATATAATTTTCAAGATACGCGTACAAAGACTGTTATCAGCATTCATGGTCGTTAATACGAAGACTGAATCATGATTTTTTTTTAATGGATAATATAATTCCGGACTATTTCCGAGTTTCAGTTAAGTAAGCCATATTGGATATTTAATTAGATGTAGCACATAGATGAAGTTGATCATTATAATCACACCTCCGGATAGTCTAAGATTATGTACTTACTCCCACATGCAGAGCGGGACTAAAAGCAATGATAACAATATTAATAACCGGTTCGAAATCATGAACAGTCGGAAGAGCGCAAGGTGTCTTGTAAATTACTTTCTTCTATCTATACAGTCATGTATAATGTATATCGAGCAGCTTGGGAAAAGAAGAGTACAATTTTGTATTGTTTTTTTTTTATTTATTTTTTTTTATAGAAGATGGTATTTCGTAGATGGAACGTCTCCAGGTAAACATCTGCAATCAAAAAGTCATTGGAATATGTTTAAACGTTTCCTAGTGTATATTTAAAATATATAGCACTGTAACAAATATTGTATAATTCTCCCTTCGGCATGTAATGGAATTATTAGTGTGGTGTTTTTAATATAATATTTTGTTCTTTTTTCACGTGCAGGTCGTTTGATCAACTCTTTATGTAAGCTTCTTGATCTACGTTTAACCTGACCAGCATCGCCATCAAAGGCTGCAAAAATGTCGACTTTGAGGAAAGTCACTGCAGAAAACCTGAACTGTCCTCTCTGCATGGACACCTTTGAGGAAGCCACCCTTCTGAGCTGTGGGCACACCTTCTGCAGGAAGTGTTTGTGGAAGTACGACGAGTTTCACCCGGACCATGCCGACATGCTCTGCCCACTCTGCCGCGAGGCCACACCCTTGAACGAGAAACGAGTGGAAGGGTTGTCCTCTAACGTGACGCTCAACGGACTGGTCGGGGATATCAATCGCATTTCGATGGGCCAACACCATACCGACGAGTCAAAACCAAGGTGTAATCTTTGCCTGCCGATCAAGTCGGCGAGCGATGACCAGGATCAGGAGCAGCCCATCGCTGTCTCATTTTGTCACGAATGCGAGGGTTATCTGTGTGAGAGTTGCCTCTCAGGGCATACACGAATGGTGCACGTCTTTGGCAGCCATCGCATTATCTCTGTCCATGACGTTTTGAGCAAAAAGAGGCAAGAAGGCCACATCTCCAAGACCTGCTCCGAGCACACGTCGGAGCAGATGGACTTCTACTGTCAAGACTGCGAAGAGGTCGTCTGCCACAAGTGCACGGTGGTGAAGCACTGCGGGAGGGATCACTCCATCAAGGATCTCGCGGAATACGAGACGGAGACGAGACAGAAGATCGACATGTTAGTCATGAGGAGCTCGGTCCGGAGGGCGAAAATCGAGAAACACATTGGCGACGTCAAGCAAGAGGAAAAGCACATCCGGGTCATGCTGACCAAGATGGAGAACGAGATCAACCGAGCTTACGACGAGAAGCTGAAGCAATTAAATGAAAACAAACGAGTTTTGATGGAGGAAGTTGCTCGGGTAGAGGCGATGTATTATAGGAAGCTCATCGATATGACGAAAACGGCACGAACATTGGCAAAGAAAATATCCGTGTCCAGCGAGATGATTTCCAAAGGTAAAAGAAAGTTCTTGTTCGGAGAGAGTCGCATCACTCACAACAATCTCTATCAGGAGCTCGATATCGTCCTCGGTGAAGAAGTAGACATGATGGCGCCTAGTCGACTCCGAGACCTTACCGGAAAAACATGTTTTGTTCCATCAGCTAGCGACGTCATTGACCTCGGGCAGATCGGCGCTCATATCACAGGGTGGACTGTGGTCAATGAAGTCGACTTACCTAGCGAAGACGCCATGAACGGTCTCGCCGCCATGTCATACGATAAAGTCGCGGTGTCTTATTTCGACGGCGGTGTCGATTCCTTTAATATCTATTCCGGGGAGAGAAAGCTGTTGATGGAGAGCGACGATCGCGGAACCCACGACATCGCTTTCTTGAGTGACGGCCGATTTGTCGCCACTAACACTTGCCGAGACCTGAAGCTTTTCAACGCTGATCAGACGCAAACCGACGTCCGTTTCGACACACCTTCCGAGTCAACAGGCCTGACGATGCTCGATGTCGATGCTCAGGACCATATGTGACCCGGCACCACAAAACCAACAAAAAGTCGCAACCAGCGATTCTCCGTAATCAGCTAAAATGTCAATTTAGGTGAAAAAAATAGATTTTTGTTTTTTTGCATTTTCTGAAAGAGTGGTCTTTTCTGTACCTAGTATCAAAATTTGGAAGTCTAAAACATAGTAGAAGATGTGTTTTAAACGGTTTTTCTAGACCAGTTTTTTTCGCACAGCCTTCGGTCTCTTCCAAAATTTGATCACTTTTCCCGAGCGAAATTATCGTAGTCCGGAAATGGTCGGTCGTTGCTAACGGGTCGTGCTACGCGGGCTGTGATTGGTCCGTTATAGCAATCAGTGCGGCGCGCCATTTTGTTTGTATCCGCTTTCACATCCGAGTTCCAGATTTGCGTTCGTCTTATATTCTCCGTTAACGACTTCGAGTAGCTTGATTGTACATCACATATCCAGAATTTGTTGATCAAGAGTAGACCTAAGAACATTATTATATTTTATTCATTTGAGAGTGACAAGTTGCGAAAAAGTCTACAACGTCGTTAACAATGCCAGGTTTTGTACGTGAGCAGAGCCGTGGGATGGTACCGGGGTGCACCAACGCAGATGCCCGGGTAGCTCGGGCGGTCAACGAAGCGATGATGCGGGGGCTAGCTGCGGGGGATCAGGCCAACCTTACAGCTTTGCTTACTGAACACTTCGGGCAAGACAGCGACGAGAGAATTCCTGATAATGTGGTTACAAATAATTGCCCAGATGTATACAAAACAAGATAGGTGACAAGCAGTGTTATGTAAGGGGGAACAAAAAGACTCCGGGTCCACCATGAATAGTCTAGGCATTGTCTAGTGCAGGTGTCTCGGCACTATGTTGCAGTTCACTTAATCTGTCCAATTACAACTCTATACATTTACAACATAATAACTTTTGAAAGACTTAAGTCCACACATTGAAACCTCAGAAACATAATGAACAGACTATGTTTGACCATCAGGCCGAATTTCAGCCTAATCTGAAAATCTCTTCATAGTGGTTGCTATGGCCTTTTGATTCACCCTTCTATTGATTTCCCTGTGGTTTGCTTGCTCCGCATGCTTGAATAGCCCCAAACTATAAAGCTCTCTTTCTCACAATTTAATACCAGTAACCTCCCTCACCAGCTCTTTTCATTCACTAAATTGAAAGGGTTAGGAAGCTTCAATTTGGACAAGTAATATACCATTTTAATGAGGAGAACTTCTTCTTTCATAATCAGATGAAATCAGGAAAATAATTTTTTGCGACTTTTTGGTGGTTTTGTGGTGCCGGGTCACATATCTTCGTTTCTTTTTGGGATCTCAAGAAAATCTTCGTCTTCTCACCGGCGGGCGGCAAGCCTCTCCGAGTCATCGAAACCGAGCGCGTCCCTCGTCAAATATGCACAACGTCGGCAGGCGCCATCATCACCCAGAAACACGGCAACATCACCGTGCTCGACGAGGACGGCAACATCGAGTGGTCATTGACGAAGAGGAAGGGATACCTGCATCCAGCCGTCAACGACAAAGACCAGCTCTACGTCGCCTGCGTCCGACCCGCCGACCAATCGCTCTCCATCGAACATTACACTTTTGGTGGCAAACACATGGGAACGGTGCTCAAGAACGCAAAGATTGAGATCCCGACGCGACATTGGTATTACATGACCTTCTTGTCACCTTCGTGTATTGCCTTCTGCACCCCTGGTAAGCTCTTTGTCATTCAGAAGTCGTTGACCAGGACGAAGATCCTTACCGAGATCATCTCTCCGACATCTTACGAGATCGATAGCGAAATTAAGATCTGTAAGAATTAGACGTGGAATTCTCAGATTTCTATCATCTAGGGGCGGTGATCCCGGGTTGAAAGACGGGGGGGGGGGAGACACGTCCCCCTCCATTTTAATTAGAGGGATCGCCCCCTCCCCCTCCTGGAAAATTTGAAAAAGTGCACACACAAATGTATAGCAAATACGGACTAAAGACTGCTACACACTTTTAGGCTCTGGAGGGCCAAAGAGTGCAGCATTTAGACTATTAAAAAAGGGCAAAAATCTTCTCGCTCGTTCGCTACGCCCCCTCGCATTACATACTTCAAAACGTACGAGGGAATATTGTAGAACTAAATCTCGCATTTTGTCCCCCCACCGATCATGAAAATAAATCACCGCCCCTGCTATCATCAGTGTAACTTTGGTCAAGGTTGGCTATATATGTTTGTGATTTGAAATGAAATGGAAGCGCTAGTTTTCATCATGTTGTTCACGCAGTTCAAGGTTAGGAGAGTAATAGGTATATGATGGTTCAATTGGTTTAATGAATAGATTAACTTATGCTGAGCACTCAGCTGAAAAAAAGTGATGAAAGAGCTAGATTTCCAGTTGTCGACTTAATCTTTTACACTATATCCAGAATCGTCGGCGACGCAATTTCGATTCCAGTAGTCGTTTAGAATACATGTATTTTGGCAAATAATTTCATTCTTCTATCGAACTCTCTCTCTTGTTTGTACAGTCAGTTTTCTGAAACAAAATGTATTTGGAAGCATTAGTGTAATATATATTTTGTTATTACACAAATAAGATATTACAGCATGTCGTTTGTAAAATATTAACATATCACACACATCCTAGCGGTTATTTGATTCTATCCAAGTATTATTATCTCTTAATCTTCGATTTTGTTTTCCTTTTAATATCGGCAGTAGAGCATGAGCTCGTCTTAAAAAAAGTTCTTATGATAATTGTAGCCGTCATTAAATCCGCTGCAAACAAAATATGTGACCCGGCACCACAAAACCACCAAAAAGTCGCAAAAAATTATTTTCCTGATTTCATCTGATTATGAAAGAAGAAGTTCTCCTCATTAAAATGGTATATTACTTGTCCAAATTGAAGCTTCCTAACCCTTTCAATTTAGTGAATGAAAAGAGCTGGTGAGGGAGGTTACTGGTATTAAATTGTGAGAAAGAGAGCTTTATAGTTTGGGGCTATTCAAGCATGCGGAGCAAGCAAACCACAGGGAAATCAATAGAAGGGTGAATCAAAAGGCCATAGCAACCACTATGAAGAGATTTTCAGATTAGGCTGAAATTCGGCCTGATGGTCAAACATAGTCTGTTCATTATGTTTCTGAGGTTTCAATGTGTGGACTTAAGTCTTTCAAAAGTTATTATGTTGTAAATGTATAGAGTTGTAATTGGACAGATTAAGTGAACTGCAACATAGTGCCGAGACACCTGCACTAGACAATGCCTAGACTATTCATGGTGGACCCGGAGTCTTTTTGTTCCCCCTTACATAACACTGCTTGTCACCTATCTTGTTTTGTATACATCTGGGCAATTATTTGTAACCACATTATCAGGAATTCTCTCGTCGCTGTCTTGCCCGAAGTGTTCAGTAAGCAAAGCTGTAAGGTTGGCCTGATCCCCCGCAGCTAGCCCCCGCATCATCGCTTCGTTGACCGCCCGAGCTACCCGGGCATCTGCGTTGGTGCACCCCGGTACCATCCCACGGCTCTGCTCACGTACAAAACCTGGCATTGTTAACGACGTTGTAGACTTTTTCGCAACTTGTCACTCTCAAATGAATAAAATATAATAATGTTCTTAGGTCTACTCTTGATCAACAAATTCTGGATATGTGATGTACAATCAAGCTACTCGAAGTCGTTAACGGAGAATATAAGACGAACGCAAATCTGGAACTCGGATGTGAAAGCGGATACAAACAAAATGGCGCGCCGCACTGATTGCTATAACGGACCAATCACAGCCCGCGTAGCACGACCCGTTAGCAACGACCGACCATTTCCGGACTACGATAATTTCGCTCGGGAAAAGTGATCAAATTTTGGAAGAGACCGAAGGCTGTGCGAAAAAAACTGGTCTAGAAAAACCGTTTAAAACACATCTTCTACTATGTTTTAGACTTCCAAATTTTGATACTAGGTACAGAAAAGACCACTCTTTCAGAAAATGCAAAAAAACAAAAATCTATTTTTTTCACCTAAATTGACATTTTAGCTGATTACGGAGAATCGCTGGTTGCGACTTTTTGTTGGTTTTGTGGTGCCGGGTCACATATAACTAGTACCCAAATTAGTGACTAAGAATTGGAGTCGGTTTGTGACCCGTTTCAGGAAACGTTTCCAGAGGATGTTGCTGTTAGTTGTAACCCATTACTATTTTATACGCCAGTTGTGCCCAACAAGCATACACGTTAAAGTCCGGTCTGAATATCCTGTATGATTTAGCATATTTTTTTATTTTGCGTTATTACTGAATTCATGTCATTTCGCCTTTTATCCTGTCCTTGTGCTTGTTACATTGGTATGCGCAGTCGAGTATGTTTGTATGTAAGTTGCGCAATATAAATTTACATTTATTATTTTATTATTATCAATTCTTTCTTTGATGATTGTTTTACCTGACTGCCAAGAGAGCATGGTATGCTTGTAAGTAACAGCCCGGGGACCGACGTCTTTAAGTCCTCTCCGAGTGACTTCAGGGTAATGAGGATTATAAAATGATGACGTAGATCCTAATCAAATGATTGGTTGAAAGCATACACGTGACCAGGCATTTATTTTGCCTAACGCGTAATTTGGGTAACGACCGGTCATTACCCAGTGGTAATGACCGGTCATTACCACATCTTGTTGTTGCTATCGTAACCATTGAGATTTCATCGTTTTACTTTTACTCGCGAGAATGGCTGCCGCGGCATTTAAAGTGCCTACTTTTGAAATTCTTTCAACTGCACAAATGCAAGAGTTATTGAATGGGACTGATTCTGCTAGTACCAAGAAGAGCATAAAGTTTGGCTTTGCGAAATTTGAAGCTTTTTTGGGCCTGAAACAAATTGAATTGGGTGAAATCACAACCGACAGGCTTCGACTGGATGACGTTTTGTGCACGTTCTATTCAAGTCTCCGTCGCGAAGATGGATCGTGGTACAGCAAGAAAACGATGCAAGTGATCAGGTATGGTGTACAGAGACACTTTTTGGACTTGCATAACTTTGATATTCGTGACAAGGCAACATTCTCACAAAGTGTGAGAATGTTTAAAGCCGTCTTAGTGAAGCTCAAGAAGGAAGGCAAAGGTTCCACCAAGCACAAACCCGCGATCTCATCTAGTGACATGGAAATCATACAAAACTCGTCGGTGCTCGATTGTGACACGCCAGCTGGATTACAGAACAAAGTCTTCGTCGATTTTATGACATATTTCTGTAATCGTGGTCGAGAAAATCTTCGAGAACTTAAGCCAGACGATTTTCGACTTGAGACAGATGAAGACGGACTTCGATACATCACTAAAAGAGATCAATTGACAAAGAACAATCGTGAGGATGATGATGAGGTGTCGAACAACGGAGTGATGTACGAAATACCTGGAAGTTCAAAGTGTCCAGTTGAGAGTTTCATGCAGTTTGTATCGAAGCTGAACAAAGATTGCCCTTTTCTATGGCAGAAACCAAAAGCAAAGAAGCCAGAAGATGGTGACAACTGGTACTGCAATGCTCCAGTTGGCAAAAACACAATGGGAAATAAGATGAAACAAATTTCCCAGAAAGCTGGATGCTCAAAGTTGTACACAAACCACTGCTTAAGAGCAACATGCATCACGACCCTGGATAGAGCCGGTTTCGAGTCTCGAGACATTCAATCAGTGAGTGGTCACCACAGTGAGCAGTCACTCAGGAATTACTGTAACACTAGCCACGAGCGGAAGAAACAAATGTCCTCACATCTTGGGAGTCATCTCTACGAGAAAAGAAACATCACTTTGCCTAGTGCAACTCAATCGGTTCCAGATCCTGGTCCTGGACCTGGTCCAAGCAGGCCTAATCGCGCCTATTCCATGCACACGACCAGACAGCCGCTTGAAATAGTAGTTCCGGATCGTGACTCAGATAATGTAGATGTTCATGTGAATTCCCATCAACAACTATCTTTTTCGCTTTCGCAGGAGAAGGTACACCAGGACCTTTCAACGACATCAAATACTTTTCAAATCCACGATTGTGTGGTGAACATTTATAATAATTAAATGTTCAACTTCAAGACAAGACTTTGTGTAGGCTAGGCCTAGATCTACATGTACATATGTTTGGCTTTGACTTGAGTTTGACTTTGACTATTTCAGCTTTTTAAACAATTCTACATGTCATGATGTACATTATCGCTGTTTGGAAGTTGCACTTTGGAATGACATTTTTAGTTTTACCTCGCTGGTTCGGGTTCTAAGTTAGGCCTAGAGGCTAGGCCTACTTCAAGTTCTACGTAGACTCGAGTCTAGACGTTCATTGTTCCAGTTGGAGTTTCAATTTCAAGTTTTTCTATGACCTGTTGCATTGATTTACAAGTTTATGATGGATGATCCTGATGATATAAAAGGTAAGACTAAAAAAGTAAGATAAAAAACAATGAGTTCTAGACTAGATCTAGAATCTCTACTTAGATCTAGAAATGTAGTGATCTAGACTAGTCTAGATCGTACTCTTAGATGTAGACCTAGTCTAGATCTCATTCTTGAGATGAGGTTGATTTATCAAATAACAAGGATCCACGTCATAATTTTATAAAACAAATAATACACATCATTTTGTTCGGGCATTAGTAACATTACCCACACTCGGTACCTTTGAAAAAGTCTAACCCGCCCTCGGCTATCGCCTCGGGCGGGTTAGACTTTTCCAAAGATACCTTGTGTGGGTAATTCTTACTAATGCCCTCACTGCTGTGTATTATTTGTATATTAATGCCTTACCGAAGCCAAAGGGCACGAGCGCATTAACTTGGTTTCGAATCCGGGAACTCCAGGTTACGAGACTATCTGCTCTACCACTGAGTCATTCATAACTTAATCTCTCTCATCTGTATTATACCCAAATCACGAAGCAAAACCTTCTCCACTTTGACTCCAAATTGACAGATTCTTGCCCCTGGGATCATGAGTTGTTTAAAAAAATCAGTCTGTAGTCTGTCCCATTGTTGTAACGAGGGATTTCAAGATTTGTCATCCTTTACCGATGTCTTTCCTCCTATTTCTTTCTCTCTTTCCACTCCCTCATCTTCCTCTCTCATGTATCACTCTCGTTATCTACACTTTCTATAACGTCCTCTTCCTCGTTCTCGCTCTCTTTTCACTGTCTTTCCTTCCATCCCTCTCTCTCTCACCCCATTTAACTCAGCTCTCAGGGTCTCTATCCATCTCTCCTTCTCGATTTTCTTTTCTCTATATCTTCCTCCTATTCAATGTATTTTCTTCTTTAATCTCTCCCCTCATCCTTGTTTATCTCTCTTTCTCTACCATCTCCTATTCTACCTCTCTCCCTTACCCTTGACTTTACTTTCTCTATCTTGTTACCCCTTTATCCGTCATATTTTCTCTCCCGTCTCTCAATCTCATCTTGCCCTCTTTATCAACCTTCTCAATCTTCCTATTTATCTACACCCTCTCTATCCACCATATCTTAATCCATGGACAAGAGACTCATGCTTTCTCTCTCCTCTTGTCCTATCACGTCTCACCCCCCCCCCCCCCCCTCCTCTCTCTCTCTCTTTAGCTCCAACTCTGCCCCATTATTTCTCTCCTCCCTCCTCTCTCCTCTTTTTGCTCATCTCTCTCCCTCTCCTCCTCCTCCCTCCCTTTCTCTCCCCTCATCTCTTTCTCCATCTTCCCCTCCTCTCTCAATTTCTCTCCTCTCTCACTTTACTGTCTATTTTTTCTGGATGGCATCCAATGAAACTTTCCCACTTCATATCACAATCTAGTTAAATCAGATATGGCCAGGGACCTTGTGAAAATATGATATTAGTGGTGCACTCTTCCGGCCCATGAGCACAAAAAATGAGTCATTTCTAATTTTGAAATTTGTTGAATGATGTTTGAATAGAACCTTACCCTGTAGTAATAAGCCAAATATTATGATTTTTACCTAAAATATTCAACACATTTAAAGTTTGTGGCCCACTAAAATGTATAAGAATAGGAATACATAATGAACTCAATTGGAGTTTACATACCGGTATATGTTCTTCCTTGCAGTTGTCTCAAATTTGGAATATTCAAGAATCCAATTAACCCTTTGACTATCCTGAATGATTTGAAACAATTTGGATCCAAAAAAGGTTGAAAATATCAAACAAAAGGCAAGAACTGTATCTAGTTGATTGTATGCCACGTACCAAAATCATTTATTTTCTTGATTATACAAATTTTATAGGCTTAGTTGATACAAGGTAAACATAAAAAGCATTTAATGCAAATGATCAATATCAATGTTAAACATGTAAATACCAAATGTAATAAACAGTGTATAAAAAATAAGCACTATATGCTTCATAAGCATGCACATGTATATTATATTACTTATAACTATATGCTTCTACTTTGCTGGAAGATTAATAATATTTTTAGCTCGATGGCTATCGTTACTTACTTAAAGCCTCGGTCACAAATGCCATCACGAACTGCTACGAACGCCGTGCGAACGATTTTCAGACAATGGAAAAACAGAAATTTGTACAAAATTATTGTTCGTACGAACCTTTGTGACCGTAGCATTAACAACGTAGCTTTTTAAGTAATAATACTATTACTCTAGGTGTACATGAATACTGATATTCAATTTGTAAATCACATGTTGGAAAACAATTAAAATTTATAATCGAAATAAAATACATATTTTTTTCAAATAAGGTGTTCAAGAATCTTTATGCATAAATTTTAAAAAGTGTGGATGTTACACAGAGAGCTGAAGCTAATTAACATGATTTTCAAGAAAATTAAAACTGATTTTGTAAACATTTTTGACAAAGCGTATATTCATTTACTTTTACTTTTACTTTTACCTTTTCAATCCACTGCAGGATGAAGGCCCAATTTATTTATAATTCAATTAATCTATCTTTCATAAAATTTAATAATAACGTTAACAATAATATTAATTACATGTCTTGTTTACCCTGGGTTTACCCTACTACATTTACATTTCACAGATAGGACATACAAGACATACTCATGATTCCTGCAAAGTTCTACAGAATTTGATGTTGGCTGCAAAAGGGATACACTACCTTTAATAGCACACATTTAGACTACCGAGTATCATTTACTTTATCACAAAATCTCTTAACATGGTCATTGATGAGTGAGTGGTTTTCTGGTATCATTACCAGTAAAATCGTGTCTTAAGAAAGATTGGAAGAAGAAACAAAAATGTAGAAAATAAATGGATGAAAGTTATTTGAATAACAATACACATTATAGTCCTGAACTGTTCGATAACCTATCCATGATTGCAAGAAGAAAAACAAAATATAAACCAAATGATAAATGTCCAATACCAAAGAGAAATAAAAGAGAAATAAATATTTTGAAGTTTTGGATTAAAAAAAAAAGAAGCAACTACCAGAAGAATAACTCTATAGCCATAACCATCTTCATAAGTATAAGTATACAACAGTGACAGATCGTGGATTCTCTGGAAGAAGGGGGGAGGGGGCACAAGACTGGTAAACCTGTGACATGCGAATAAAAGAAACGGTAATCAGCCTATGGTTCTTCTTTTCTTTTCCCCACTTGCCCTTCACCCTTCCTGGACCTGTCATTGATAGAAGAAATTTCCACAAGATATTTAAAAGCTTGGCATCAGTATTCCGTAAATCTTTCTACACCATTGTCAATGAATACTTTACTAATTAAATGGTACCTTAAAATAAGAAGAAATAGCCTTTGGCAAAAGTACTTGGTTGTTTTATATGCAGCTGCTTTTCTGGATATTTCAAAGATGCAAGTTGTGAGAGGAGCTTGGAAGGATCACATGATGGCTTCTTTGGCTGTTGCCTGTGGATAAAGAAAGAACAGGTTATTTATTTATTTATTTAAAGGTAATTCAAAGTTTTGGGAAATTTTGAAACTTGGGTGGATAGTGAATCTTTACAATTTTGATGTATTTGGATGCCCCTGTGGATGTATTATAAGCACTAAAAAAATTAGCCCCTAAAACAATTCCGTTTTCGAGAAAAATTGAATATAAAAATTTACCGGTGCTCCCGGTAAATTTTTATAAATTTCAAATAGCGCCTATGGCCGTACAATGGTAGCTGTGACCATGAAAATCTTAGAATATGTAGTTGGGATATATAATTTCCAACAGGGATAGCTAATCGGTCGATTTTAGTCAAGAAACATTGTTTCATAGCTAAATTAATATCTTGACCTTGAGAGGGAGCTATACAACATAAAGAGTTTATTATTTATAATTTCATAACCCTAGACTCGATTTCAACCGCGAAAAAGATCAATGTACATTATAGGAACGCATATGCTTCCAATATGTTAATTTGAACCAAATTCATGTCCCCATACCAAAACTTTGTAATACCTTTAATGATTAATATCTGATATTTAGACAGGGTGACTCATTATCACCAACAATGGTTAAATAATAAATAAATAATAATAATTAAAAAATCATGAACATAAACTCATAACAGTAACAAAGAATAAGTAAGGACATGTATAAACATATATACAAACATATATATATATACTGGTTACCAGTCAGGTTTGTTTGAAATGCAATGCACATTTATGTCACATGCAGTTAACAACTAAATTGTTCCTACCCTTACAAAGCTTTTTAGTTTGTTAATTACATGAAAATTGACATGTCCAGATTTCTGTTTCTTGATAATGTGACTATTAAACTTAGGCCTACGTCTTAAAGTATTCAACAATGACCCTAATTCAACCAGTCCATCTTTAACTCTTGAATTACTAAGAACAACAACAAAAAAAACATTAAATTTACAAGATTTGTTTAATACTTTTAGATATAAGCCTTAATATATCACATTCTCATAAAACATAAATCAGGACAAATCAAGTTTCACGTATGTACATGGGCTTAAAACTTGCTTGGCCGAAAACAGGACTACCGGTAATCGTCAAGTAAAAGTGTGTTGGACAAGTGAACATTCAAAACACCAGACAACTACACCAGGGGGGTGTTTCAAAAATATTCTAAGTCAAACTTAACTCTAAGTTGGACTTAAATATTATGGAGAGCCATTTGTAGCCTTAATATAAAATATACTCAAAAGCGAAAATTCAAGTATTTCAGACTTTTTTATAAATTCCACATCAAGAACATGAAATCTCCTTGCCAATAGAAAATATGAATGATTTGAATCAAAATTTTATGCCTTTTGAAATAACTTTTACAAAATATTTTCATACATGCTAACAGTTTTCCATAATTTTGAAGTCGAACTTAGAGATAAGTTCAACTTAGGATCTTTGTGAAACACCCCCCAGATATTATCAGACATGTCACATGTCAAAGTAAAATATGAAATTGAATCTAAAATGAGTACATGTAGCTACCCAGGTATCCAGGACGAGTGGTTGGTGTATCTTTAACTTCTAGGAACGTTAAATTACCAGGGGAAGTTGAGTCAATCCGTGATTCCTGTGCCTTGAGATGCTATCACTTCCCCTCCCAAAAAAAATTCAAGGACAACTTCCTGACAAGCTTCCAACATTTTATGACCTTTTCCCCCTTCACTTCAAGACTTTCACATACATACATGTAATTAGCTTCATTTACACTACAAGCAAAAATCATACATTTTTCTCATATTCCAGTTTTTTGTAGGTAGTTGCATAGCATGACGAAAAACCAAGATCGAAAAATCCATCTCTTTGATGATTGTTTTACCCGACTGCCAAGAAAGTATTGTATGCTTGTAAATAAGTAACCAGGGAACCAACAGCTTTAAGTCCTCTCTGAGGGACTGGGTAATGAGGATTAATGCCTTATCAAAGTGCACTAGCGCATCGGCTTGATTTTGAACCCGGGACCTCATGGTTACGAGACCACTGCTCTACCAGTAAGCCATTGCGCCTCCTTGAGCAGGGGGATCTGCTCATCATGAATGACCTTCTGATTATGTGATTTCTTGGGATCATGCACAGTGCAAATTATCTGGGCTTAAAACAACACTACCATTGTTCTTTAAAGCCCCACTGCACTACTTATAGCTACTTGTGCCCTCTATATAGCAAACAATGCCTAATCGGTGCCTGTTGGTCCCCCATGATCCCCTTTTTCTTATGTTAACTGAGAGCTGATTTTTATGAGATAACCACCTGTCAGTGACCTTGCAGAGAGCTATTCCCCCTTGGCCAAACTAGTGCAGAACGGCTTTAAAGCTTATCAACACTAGTGTGGCTAGGAGGGATTAGACCACACAGCAAGGTCACTGACAGGTGGCTATCTCATCAACTCAGCTCTCAAATAACATAAGAAATAGAGGATCATGGGGGACCAACAGGCACCGATTGGGGAAGTTTTCTTTATAGAGGGAGCAAGTAGCTACAAGTAGGACAGTGGGGCTTTAATATATTATTATTTTAAAAAAAAACATTACTTTGAAGATATGCCAAGTACAATTTTTTAATGTTAAAATAGCAGTGTGTGCTGGCAGACTAAGGCTCATTTCACTTTTTTGTGTTCCAAATTTAGCCTACCCTTTGCATCTTGGTATCTGATGGCTTGCCAAAATCATCACTCTTCACTCCTCTGCATTGCAGTGGAATTACATGAAAGTGCCTTGGAATAGTTCTCCCTCCATTACCATCTTTTCTCTTTCTCCCTTTCTTTAGCTATACCTGTTCATTTCTGATGTCTATCAGTCTCTCTCTTTCTCTCTCTGTCTCTCACCCCTCCCGTTCTCATTTCCCCTCCCCCTTTCATCCTGTCAGTCTCTGTCTCACCCTGTCTCTGTTTCTGTTCATTTCTCTCTCTCCATCTCCACCCCCTCCTCTCTCTTTTTATTTGCAGGCTTTCAATATTTATACCGGTAATACATTTTACCCGACAGTATAAATTTGTATTTGCACAAGGGCATATCACTGATGGGACTACCCTCTGTATAAATATGACAACAACAACAACAACACAAACAACAAAAACAGCAACAACAATAATATTAATAATAATAACATCAGAACAAATAATAATAGTAATAATAATAATAAAAGTAATTTTCTTTCTTATGTAAATGTACACAATTCTTTGTCATGATGTAATGTGTTCCCTAATATTTTGAAGTGCCTTGAGCATTTAATTAAAATGGATAATGGCGCTATATAAATCTCATGTATCATTATTATTATTGTTATTAGTCAAACCTATCTATAGCGACCACCCAAGGGAAACACGAAAAGTGGTCATTGTAGACAGGTTTGTTTAGTACATGTTTTAATGAGAAACCATTTTCAAGGGGAAACAAAAACTGTGGTCTTTGTAGACGGGTGGTCACTAAAGCAGGTTCGACATTCATAACAATAATAATAATAGCCTCTTGTCTCTTACCACATGCCCCTGGATGGTTTCTGTCCAGTCTTCTTTGGCTATCTTTGGAATGACATCAAGCAGGACCTTCTTGCCGTTAGCAGCATTCATTGCAAAGGTCTTCATCACAACATCAAGAGATACCTGACAATAACATTTTAGAGAGTAAATAACTGTCAAAATAGGCAGATTAAAGCTAATCTCGAGGTCTGGTATGGGAATCTTATGTCAAGAGAACATGGCTATAATTCATTCTGAATTGTTGGTCGGATCCTGCAGTAGATCGATTGCCTATGTGAATCACATGGCTAGCAGTTCGAGCCCCGCTGCGGCACTAATATCCTTTGGCAAGATATTAATCTATATTTACCACACTCAACCCAGGTGATGTGAATGCGTACTTGACTTCTTGGTAGGAAGAAATTCCTTGAATGCTTGAGCGACTTCTCATGGTAGCTTGGCTAAAGGCGGAGTTATATTATGATTGCAGGGCTCTCAGGGAGAACCCTATTAATACTGATGTGGCTACCCTTGTTAAAAAAGACGTAGTATAATGTATTATGTAGAGGTGTCGTGGTCGAGTGGATATGTCACCAGAATGTGGATCTCAAGGTCCGCGATTCAAGTCCTGCCGTGGCAGTAATGTCCTTTGGCAAGACATTATCCTACTTTTGCCACACTCAACCCAAGTGAGGTAAATGGGTACCTACATGTATTAGGATTATTCCTTGAAATGCACTGTGCACTGATAACGGCTGCCGGAGCTAAAGCAAGGGTAATGATCTCCAAAGCTCTTTGGAAGCGCATAGAGACTTTGTATCATAATGTGTTATGCGCTTTACAAGATTGAACTTTTATTATTATTATTATTATTTCACCATCACCATTCTGCTCTGAACACAAAGCTCAAAATACCGGGGGCGGTGGGCAATTTGCCCCCGTGAGCTTCATAATCGCCTCCGTCAGATTGCTCATGGGGGCGATTGCAAAATTAAAAATCGCCCCCGTAGAATTATAGGATAAAGATTATCGTTTCTGCTATAACTTTCACACAATATTGAGTTTCAACTTTCAAACCTCAAACCAATGAAATGGAACTATTGAAATTAGGTTAGCGTGCAGGATTTCTCGCCCAAATTTTTCGGTGTCTAGTGGCTGCCATATTAGTTGTAAACAAATGAACGCTTTTTCGCCGCAAGATTGCGCTATATCTTCCATCTTCACATCTCTTGGAGTATTATAGATACAAACAGCGGAAGCTCGCAGTGCACAGCGGCCGTCAGCAGTGGCTATACTAGCTGCACCGGTAGTATACTGGTGTGCATGCTGCCGCCCCATATCTGCTGGAGCTAGATAGAGGCGATCATGCAAGGACCAAAACGTGGAGAAGTATTTCGTGAATCCTCTGAAATCTGGTGATTCCAAAGACCAGCAAATAATGAACCTCGACCAGTAAATCAACCGAAAGCTAAATTTAGTAAAAGGAAACCAGTTGGCGAGGAGGCGCCTGTACGGGCTTGGACCAGAAATGCTGATAATGATGAAATAGCAAAGAATTTAGGAGTATCATGGGTACCACCAATTGAAATGAAATTTGTATTAAAAAAAGAGTCCCTGTCAGTTCTCTTTTTTTTGGGGAAGAGCCCCATGGACAAAAAATTAATTTGAGCCCTGTCTGAACATATATTACATAGAATTCCACCATGCTCTCTCCACTCACCGATTCTTCCGACTCTCTCCAGCTGTCGTAGTCCGTTGGCAAGGCGATGGCGGCGTAACACAGACCCTGCTCCTTGGCCAGGATAACCTCCGGTACGGTGGTCATGTTGATCACGTCTCCGCCCAGGATGCGGTACATCTTGCTCTCGGCCCGCGAGGAGAAGCGGGGCCCCTCCATGGTGACCACGGTGCCCTTTTCGTGGCACGTTAGACCCAGCGACTTGACTGATGCAATGAGATGCTGTAGATAGGCAAATCAATAATAATGTTCAATAAGTAGGTATTACAAGTACTGATGGATATGCATCTGAAATCATTAGTATGTCTGATCAAAGAGATGTAATCAAATAATTTCATAAAATTCAATAAAATCATTGATACCATGCAGATATTAATCACATTTTTAATCCAAATGTCTTTAGAAGTATAAAATGTCATAAAAAACATAAAAAATGATTTTGATTAACCCTGAACTTCATGGTTTGGCCATCTCACATAATGTATTAGTAAATCATAGAAAAATAGAATTCAACTACATGTGAATAAAACAAAACACTCATTACTCCGCCCAATCTATTCTTAAATAAAACATTGTGACCAAAAATTTGACTCTTTGAAATAAAATGCTAATGTCTTGAGATTTGTACAAATTATGGAGCCTGCAAATAGGACACTTGGAAGTGGAGAGGTTAGCTGACGCTAGCTCTGGTAATTTCCAACAGAAATCTGGTAAGCACAAGGAGCAGGAATACCAAAAATTGAATCACATTTTTATCAAATTCTAAAGCAAATCCATAAAAAAACTCCAAAAAAAAAAAAATTATTTTCTTTTCCCACTGGATGAACAATCTTCACGCTTCTCACCTCTCTGGTTCTTTCACAGAAAGGGGAATGCATGGCGATATGAGAGATGCCCTTAGGACTGCCTTCCTCTCCGTCATAGTAGGTCTGGATCCTCTTGTAGGTCCTGTCGATGAACTGGTCCGGGACCACGATGTGACCAGGAGCGATCTGCTCCTGGAGGGACCCGCAGGCTGTCGTCACCACCAGGTGGGTGCAACCCTCCTGCTTCAGGGCATACACGTTGGCGCGGAAGTTGATCTTGGAAGGCATGATGTCGTGCTTGCGTCCGTGTCTGTTTGGATGAAAGAACAGAGAATCACTTTTTGTTGTTGTAAGAAAAACTGCAAATGGCATTTGTTTCACTCACACACAGTGCATACTGGTACTCATATTTCATTTAACTATCAAACCTGCTTTAGTGACCACCTGTCTACAAAGACCACATTTTTTGTTTCCCTTGAAAATGGTTTCTCATTAAAACATGTACTAAAGGAACCTGTCTACAAAAAAATGCTGGTACCCGTCTTCAAAGACCACTTTTTGTGTTTCCCTTGGGCAGTCAATGTTTTACTGTACATGTGTAAACATTACTCACTTCACTGTGGCACTTACACTGACACACAGCACATCATCATCCTGGGGACAGCTTCTAGGAGCTGCTGAAAGGGACTATTATTTTAAGGTTCAAGGCACAAGTACAACGAAGTACATGTAGCTAATACTGATGTTTGACTTACTGTACACAACTATCAAGATGGCAAATAATTGTATGCCACTTTACATAGCAGGGTTTTTTGCTCTTCCTAGGAAAACAAATTCCATGACTTTTCATGATTATTAAATGGAAAACAAAAATATCCTTGAATTTTTTTTCTTCTGGATAATGGAAAGAAAATCTTCTCTCAAAATAGAAAACCATTATAGAATTATATTCCTGTAGGAAAATAATCATTAAAATTAAGTCACTTGATTATAAACAAAAAAGAAACATATTAAACGTTGCATTAGAATCCAGCAATTGGCACATGTACGCTTGAATCAATTTCACTTCTATACTTTCCTCATTGCAATACTGAAATAATATGCTTCCAGCTAGCACTGTAGATGGATCAGCAATTTCCATTGTTTTTTAACTGTTTCAAAAAAATCAATTTTTCCTCTTCATTTTTCAGGTCGGTAATTCATAAGTCATGTTTATTTAACAAAAATATAGAAAATTCTTAAGATCTTTTAAGTTTCAACTCTATTAGGAGATGTTTTTGACCTAAACATCCTGGGTGCTTTAAAAATGCAAGTTTTGTTCAGTTAATGTTTTTATGCATTCAGAGCGTACAGCAAAGGCATACCCATAAATGTGACTAACTGCCTGCTTTGCACACATCAATTGGATAAATTGATTGTAATGGTAATGCTAACTGTTTTATTCAAAATTCATTCGAAGCCAGATGGCTGAATTGCAGAATTTTGTATGTTGCATAAAAACAGAAATAATTGTACAAACATAAATTAACTACAGTAAAATTATCCATCAAATCGTATTAAAACATATCACACAGTGAATGAATTTTCTAAATAAATCAGTGCACACCTCTACATACAAATTAATAAAATTCTAATGTTTACCTTGCAAGAAGAACACAGTCCACTCCCTCAATCTGTCCGATGGTAAGTGCGTCAGAGGGCTGAAGGATTTGAAAACACATATGGTTAGAAGATAAATGTGATACGCCACAGAAAAGAAGATAAATTCTTGTTTAAAGGCATCGACTTCAAACACCAGCAAATTCAACCCATGTAATTCCCTAAACATCAGCAGCTGTCAAACTGCATCAGGCTTGAGAAAATTTGTGGTCAATCTATGATCAATTGCTCCCCTTTCCCCTCTCCCCCCCCCCCCCCCCCCCCCCCCCCCCCCCCCCCTCCTCTGAAAAAGAAAAAAAAAGAAGAAAAGAATGAAGAAACACCTCCCTCCCTCCAAAATAAATTCAATAAAAAATGAATAAAGGAACAAACAACATTCTAGGTATCTGGTACATAAATATACCAAGAGGACTATAGAGACTTTTCTCTGTTCTATAAATATAATGATAATTTTTTGTTGTACCTTTCCATAGGGTGTGTCAACAAACTTCTCATGTCTGGAATGAAGAATATCAGGATCGTCCAGCCCTGATCCTCCAATGATTCCAATCTGAGGAAAAAACACAGTAACAGAGAATTATGAAAGAGAAAAAATAGCAACATGTATGATCAAGAATAAAATTTATTTGATTTAATTGACAATGATTATACCGGGGGGGGGGGGGGGGGGGGGGTACACAATAAGACGTAGCCTACTGGTGTGTGCTGCTCTAATGGGTCACTTTTTCACAAAAAAAATACATAAACATGGGTCCCATTTTTCGAGTAATTGCAATGTGAAAAATGAGCTTTACTTCGAGAAAATTCTTCAAGTGACCCTTTAAAATGGGCAATGGTAAAGTAATATTAGGGAAAATGCAATTATTTAAATGAATTTGTATTAAACAAGATTGACAATGATACCAAGAAATAAGAGATGCAATATACTTCCAAATATGTGTAGATTATACAACAGAAGTACTTGTAAAATATAATTGTGAGTATTTCATTACATGGCCGGTGAATCAGTTTTGTTCTTGAGATGGGTACCCCCCGGATATTTTCATTTGATAGTTTATAAAAATACACCAATATATTATTCTTAGAAAAATACAATGTAATGAAATTTGTGTCCAATGTTTTGAATAAAGTTGAATAATCAAATGACAAAACTTCAACATTCTAAATATTAAAACACATGTTTTAAACTAGACCTACATGTATTCATTTTACACATTTGAAGATAGAATTTATCTCGAAGGCAATATGGGTCTAAAAAATAAAGAATACACTTCGAACTATGGCTTGCCTGCTGTGGCAGATTACCCATCCCTTCAAGGATTTTACAATATGTAAAGAAACGCGTACATGTATAATCAGTTTATAAAAGTGGGAAAAGCCTAAATATAAACATGGCATATTTTCAAAAGATTTTCTAACTGTAAAGAAATGATAACTTCCTGTTTAAGTGAATGTGTAGAAAATCATAGCTGGAGGATTTATTGTCCTATCTTGCTAGCCATAGTCTACCCAATAAATGACATGTGATAGCGCTGCCCATCGACTAAATAGTTATGACAGAGATGTGACGGTGTCGGAGTCGTCATAACTCCTTAGTCAGGAAGTTGTCCTTGATGTTAGCAAAGAGGGCTCCGTGAAACACGTAGCGGACAAGTAGCTCACTAACGCTGATTTAGTCAAGAAGTTAGACTTATGACAGTTTCTAGGAACGGGCCCCTGCTGAGTATCCTCATAAAAGGAGAGTAAATGGAAAGCCATGCGTGCATCAAATACCCCTTTCAAACTGGCCTGATTTTCATCAGATGCATCCGGACGCATCCGATGAAACAGCCACTATTTTTATTTTTTATTTTTTATTTTGATAAGGTTTTATTCGAATATTCAACAATACAACTGGAGGCTGATACAAGTGAATTTACAAGGTAAAAATAATTCCATAGACATAAAAATATAATTATATGCTTTAACACTTTTAAATGAATCCAGATATAAACAGTACATAGTAAATAAATCATAAATAATGAAAACAATAATAATATTGAGTTCGGTTTGCATACTTGGATATGAAATAAATAGAAATTCAAAGGGTGTAAGGTTAGGTATACAGTTTGAGAGTCGGAGCAGGACATTTTGATAATGTATTAAGAAAAAAATTATTATTGATCATTAAAAAATTGAAATTAAATGATTAAACTGTAATATTTACATGAAGTATATATACAAAATAATTCAATAAAATACAATTATTAAATATTGTTATGTATGATCTTCATGAATACGTGATGTAAAACCCGGCTTGAAAACATAAAATTACATTTATTAAATTAAATTTATTGAAATAACTATAGATAGATAGATAGATAGATAATTTATTGGTCCATATTCAAAAACATAGAAAATTGGCCTCCACTGGCAGCACATAAACATAATACAAAGTAGTTACAAAATAATTGATATGTCACATAATGTACATAAATTCACACCAGATCATGACATTAACAAAAAGCATAAGTATAAATTACATAGTAATAGGGAAAACTTAAGAAAGAAGTCGACATTCAAAGATTGAGAAGTGAGAAAAAAGTCGTAAGGAGACTGAGGAGCAAAAAATAGTAATAAGAGAGAGAGGGGAGAGGGGGAAAGAGACAGAGAGGGAGGGGAGAGATAGAGAGATAGAGAGATAGAGGGAGAGAGAGAGAAAGATAGGAACGAAAGGTGGACGTAAGGAGAGAAGAGGGTATAAATAGAGGGAGGGGAAAGAAAAGGAAAGGAAGGGGAACTCGTCCATACACGACACATGTAACTGTCTATCTGAGAGGTAATAGACCAGTTTCGCAGCGTATCCACGTTGAATGCGCAGGTCCCCGCGAAGTGCGCGGACACGAATGACTCCTCCCACCCGCCAGGAACAATCGTATTCCAACAGGCAGAATGCGAGTTGCACACGAAAGATGCTACCAGGCTGGCAATACATTAGAGCTCGCCCAACCTAGCAACAACCAACGTACGCAACTCACACCCCGCCCACCAAAGCACAACCACTCCCAACGGTGAATGGAGCCACCCGCATCCAGGCACCCCGACAAAGACCCACGCACCCAACCCGAACCCACTGCGAAACTGGTCCATTATGTTGCACATTTTAAAAAACCGGCTTTATGATACTAATTATGCGTAAAAACAGAGCAGAGGCAAGATTGAACGGTGGGTCAATTGGCAGGTGTTAGAGTTACAAGGAAAATATAAATATATAACTGGCTAACTGGCTGGCAAGAGACTTTCAAAAGGGTCATCGCTTGACATTAGCATTGAACATATGAATGACATTCGGTACAAAGGATTGTCTGTAACGACAGCGGTTGCTCCTCGGTACGCGTAGGCGAATACCTGAGTGGTTGAATCCAAGAAAATGATGTAATGGATGTGATGGGTCATTCATTATTGTGTGAACTTTAAGTAACATACGTTTTTCATACACAGTACTGATAGGGGGAAGATCTGAATAAATTAACCGCTGGGCAATTTTCCTGGGTCTATCTAACTTTCTCCGATTTTGTTTTGAAAGATTACCAAAAGTGCACAAAAAATTGAATGTCAGGATACTCTGTATAAGAGATTGGTAGAAGAGAACTAGAATCCTATTATCCACATGAAATTCCTTTAGTTTCCTTAGAAAGTATAACCTTTGACTCGCCTTGCCTGCTACGATTTGGGTGTTCCTATTCCAGTTAAGTTTATTATCAACAGTTGTTCCCAAGTACTTATATTCAGAAACTCGCTCAATGCTTTGATCATGGATAACCAACGAGTCAAGAGGCTGAGAGGAACGACGAAAGTCAAATACCATTTCCTTGGTCTTTTTTACGTTAAGAACTAGATGGTGCCGATCGCACCAGTTTACAAATTGATCAACTTCTCTAACATATGGGCTGGAATCTCCTTGAAGGAAACCAGTTATCACAGTGTCGTCTGCGTACTTAATTATTGAACAATTATTATTGGTGATGGTATAGTCACTAATATAGAGCGAGAAGAGAATTGGTGAAATTACACAGCCTTGAGGAGCACCTAGATTCAGACATTTGATGATAGAGTTCAGATTATTACACTTAACCCATTGTGGTCTGTCTACAAGGAAATTATGGATAATCCTAACTAGACATGGTTTGGCATTCATATTAAGTAGCTTATCTATCAGTATGTAAGGAACAATCGTATTAAAGGCACTTGAGAAATCTATGAACACAGACCTAGCGTAAGACCTAGGAGTATCCAAATGTTTATACAGACCCTGTAAAAAAACAAGTACTGCGTCTTCTACACCTCTATTGTTCTGATATGCAAATTGAGTCTTGTCAAAAATATTAACCTGATGGTTTCTAAGGTGTTTTAACAATAACCGTTCAAAACATTTCATAGGATTGCATGTAAGGGCTACTGGTCTATACTGATTCAGTTCACTAGGGTTTTTCATCTTAGGAACTGGAATAATAATCGAGGATTTCCAAAGACGAGGGATCCTACCAGCATTCATGATCAATTGGTAAATACGTGTAAAAACATAGGCAAGTTGTTGACTACACATGTTCAAAACCTTATTAGAAATGTGGTCTGGACCAGATGCTTTGTTTACATTTGTCTTCGCAAATACATTTCGAACTTCATGTTCACTAAAGACAATTACCTTATTTGAATCAATTACAATATTTGACAGCCTATCTATTATTACATCATTCTCTGTAGAAAAGTCATGAACATCGAATCGGGCATAGAATTCACTAAGACTATCAACAAAATCCTGTTTACAATCCATTACTCTCCTATTAGTGTCCTTATAACCGGTCATTGTTTGCATTTGCTGCCATGCAGCTCGTGGGTTGTTTTCATTAAAGTTCCTTTCCAGTTTTCTTTTATACAGCACTTTAGCTTTCGCGACTTGCCGGTTGATTTCTTTCTGTATCTCCTTAACACGTGACTTCTCTCCTGAAAGAAAAGCTTCGCGTTTCCGTTTCAATAACACCTTCAGTTCCTGAGTAATCCATGGCTTGTTGTTTGGATATGACTTTACATCTTTAAGAGGAATCGAAGATTCAACGCAGAAGTTGACGTACTCGGATATAACTGTAGCTGCTTCGTCTATCGACTCAGCTGAATCTACGAAGGTGTCCCAATCTGTGCAATCGAAGCTAGCACGCAGTTCCTCTATGGCTTCGGAGCTCCACACACGCCGTTTCCTGGCAACCGGTTTGCTGCTTTTCAGCTTCTGTCGGTACGACGGGAGGAGAAAAATGTTGTTGTGGTCGGAGTTACCCAACTGTGGACAGGACTTCGATGTGAATGCGTTCGGAATGTTGCAGTAACATAAATCAAGGGTGGCATCGTTACGTGTAGTCTGTTGAACAAATTGATTGTAGGTCGGAAGCACCTCATCCAATTTGCATTGATTAAAGTCACCCAAAATAATCTTAGCTGAATCCGGTGATAGTGCCTCGAGTTCATTGACCTTTGAGGCGATGAATTGACTGGCGATATCAACATTAGCATGTGGCGGAATGTATGCAACTAATACGAAAATCCTGTTAATCTCCCTCGGCAAGTAAAAAGGTCGAAGCCCAACAACTAGTAGTTCGTAGTCGGGTGTACAAAACTTCTCTCTCACAGTCCAGTTATTGCACCACTTATGATTAACAAAGACACAAACACCACCTCCACGGGATTTACCTGATTCTGAAGTTCTGTCCCCTCTTATAATTTCGTAATCTCCAATGTCTATGGCGCTGTCCGGGATATTCTCGTGGAGCCATGTTTCCGTAAAGCACAGAAGGCACGATTCTCTATACTCATGAAGAAAACGTATATTTGCACGGAGTTCGTCAATTTTGTTGGGTAGGGATCTGACATTACCAAAAACGATAGAAGGCAACGGTGGTTTAAATCCTCGTTTCCTCACTCGCTGTCGAACCCCACCTTTCTTTCCTCTTTTCCGTGGTAGAATTTCACGCGGGAAATCGGCGAAACCACGTGGTTTGCTACCCGGGGCCTGGGCGGGCCGGTAGCTCAACAGTTCGGTACGCGTGTAAGTAATGGAACCTTGAGCATGTTGGGCGTGGTCCTGACAGTGAACATTCGTAAAAAGCCGTGAAATTAGTAGAATTGTTAAAAATATCCGGATCAGTAATGAAGAAACACATGTAGAAGGCATGATGACACAATGACAATAGCGAAAAACAGACAAAAGTACGACGAAATCAGGAAAAATAAACCGAAAAGATGAGAACATAAAAAAACCAGAATGCTACAGAGGAGAAAAAGCCGATTAAATAGCTGATGAAAAGAAGAGAAATATGCGATTAAATTCTCATTCTATCGGTGTGACACCAATGAAACAGCCACTGTGACCCGGCCCCCCCACTCAGTGTTATTTAGGGTACGCATATGCTCGTTCCCTCTTTTTGAAAGCACCCCCTATCTGAGGACTGCCAACATTTCCGAACCCCCCTTTCGCAGGCTTTTTGCGGGCTTTTCCTGCCTTGGAGACCCCCATAAAACATGGAAAATGCTCAGTGTACCCCCCTAAATTCGGAATAATTTCTCAGGAGTCCAAAGAGACGAGAGAAAAAAAAGAAAAAACACCCCCTTTTTAAAGAAATCACCGGGTGAAAAGTTATTAGGGGTCTACACCCCTTTTTTTACAATTCTCGGGCCGGACTTTGTCGCACGAAAAGTACCCCTTTACCGGACATTTCGGTAACACGCATGGGGTCATTCCGACTCCGGAGTGGGGGGGCCGGACACTGTGAATGCGTTCTGGAGAAACCAGCGATTAAAACACCAATGAAAATGGCCTAATGTCGCAGCGTACGCGCGCTTTATCGTAAACTGCTCTGTTTTTTAACGTTTTGTTGAACATGCTGCATGCCAGCTAGATGGGGCACAGGCTTAATAATTACGTGATAATTCTTCACCTCCGGCAAGGACTTGCCACAGCGAGTGAATTTCACATGCATTATGATAGCGACAGCAGGGAAAGCGGCGGTTTCACCTTCGGCTTCGGGTCTAGATCTAGTTTACATAAGGAAAATTCAATCAGGACTTTCATAGGTGTGACTCCAATAGAAGCCAGTTTGAAAGCAGTAAAAGTCAAACTACGCCCGATTAAAAGTACTAGACTCTATTATATTAATGATCACACCATGTTCATGTTTACTATCCTACACTCAACTCCAGGGAGCTGGGAGCTCCGCCGCCTAAGGCTTCGGCGGCGGAGCTCCCTTGAGTTACCCTACACAGTCCCAAGTATATTATTAATTTCAGCGATGTTTTTTTATATTGTTAATTGTTTGGATTTCACCAATCAAATTTGTGACAACAATTTAAACACAGCATGCACAGGGCTTCCTTATTACCAAGAAAATATCTATCTATACTACACTTACCTTCACAGCACTCATTTTAACGTAGATAAGACCGTCAATCTTTAGAATTCTAGAAAATATTCCGGTACATCTACCTCGCTATGGTCGGCCACTACCTCGCTATGGTCGGTCGGGTAGGTACACGTAAGCACGTGCACGTGTTCGACCAGCTGGGTCATTATGTATGACGTCACGGATAGCGAATTCGATTGGTCAATAGAATAACAAGACCATGCAGAAAGGATTCCCATTGGCCAATTATTTAAATGCCCAATGTTTACGTGAAAGCACAAACTCGGAGAACGTATTTAAAGAACGAACTTTTGTCTGTGGAATAAGGGTAAGAAAAGAACAAATTGTAACTTTAAGACGAATTTAAAGATTATCATGATTTGATGAGCAATTTTTTGTGGAGATCTTTAGAAATTTGTCTTTCTCTGCATGTCTGGCCAGCCCGGTTTTATAATTGCCTCGGTTAAATTTCTTTGTGTGATTTTGTTTTGTGTATGGAGTGTAGTGTAACTTTGCGAGGTGAACAGATCCAGCCAACCAGGCGGCCAGCTCCCCGACTGAAGTCGTCCCCGTCCCGCTACATACGGTACACCCTTGATTTTTGCACTCATTCTGAATGGGTGAACAGTGAAGTAGAGTCTAATTTAGACAGAAATAACCGACTGGTATGGGTCATTCTTTAATAAAAACTGACATTTGTAGACAGAGCTAGCGGTCAGGGGAGCCAGATATAATCTCAGCGGAACAACCGTCGATATCGATGGTTGCATGTTACGCTGAGATTATATCTGGCCTGGCTCCTGATCCTGGCTTCCCCGACCGCCTCTATCTACAAATGTCAATTCATGCAGAGACTGAAGCTTTCGATGTAAGTCTAACTTAGCTACGGTACTAAAACTAAAGACCTAAAAATCAGTTTTTTGTTAGGGGATAGGGGGCTGAGCTGAGCTGAGACTGAGAGTATGCATAGACTACTTGTCTAGATCTAGTCTATTTTCACCAAAGAGTCTTTGGTCTCACAGAATCCGGCCTCTCCCACAAATTGGAGACATATAATCCCAGCCTTACGCTCCGTGTTATAAAAAGGTGTGATTGATTTGAATCTATTGCATCTTTTTTTTAATTATTTTTATTTTAATACAGGGCCCTAATTAATTGTAGATACAATTAGCTTGTTACTTTCTTCATTAATCACTGGGTCTGGATCCTCTATTTCTTCTGAAAAAATATAACATAATGTCTTTGATGCCTTTAATGTCTTAAATTGTAGTTTGAACTTTGCATTAATCTTTATCATAATTTGTCATTTTTCGTTCTCATATTGTACATGTGCTAAAGCTTTGGTCTATAGAGGGCAGCACACTGAGCCAATGGATATTACCCTCCTATGCGTACTAGTGTCCCTGAATTTGGAGCTAATACCTGTATGGCTCAGTGTTCGCCAAGTTGCCTAGCCATACTTAACGAACGACTATATACCGACGCATGAACGCCTTTAAAGTTTGGACTTTGTTGTGCACCAAAGTCGGGATGCATCTTTCACAGAGGCAGATTTGGGTATTAATACAAATTACAAAATATAAGGAATTGGATTAATTTCTGTTTGAGTTGTTTTGTAAGTTGAAACTGTTGCAATCAGTTTTCAGACTGGAAAACAATTTCTTTGGTCTTTATATATCTTTCTCTAGTGACAGTGCAATATGGATTGTCCAGAGTTAGTCTGTTCGGTTGCCATTGAAAAGCTAGACACCAGTGGCGAAGTCACCAAACGAACAATGTGCAGGAACGGTTCTCTTATCTTAGGAAGGAATGAGTTCAGGGATGTTCTTCTGAAAGTTCATACAGGTACAGTATGTCAGGGTTCCTAGCTATACTGGAAATCAGGTAACTTACACCCGGAGAAAGAGCTTTCATTTTTTTCAAGTCACCAACAATTCATGGACTTTCAGAAAAAGCACTCAAATCAGACCCCCAAATAAAAAATAGTCAGTCTCCTATTTTGTCTCATGCATTTTCTATGTATTATAATGCCCCCTTTAACTATCCTGGAATTTTGTAACTTTATTGGGCAAAATCATGAGATAATTATTTTTTCATAAAATGATGAGAATTATTTTTCATTTGGCTGTAAAAAATAAACACATAAAAGCAGGGCCCCACACTAACTTTTTTCGTTGATGGTTTGGATTAAATTTTTTGAAGAAACAGGTTAAAGACTTGGATTAAAATTTTGAGACTAACCTTATAGACCCACAACTGATAAAATAAAACGTTACATCACAGCCCTAGCTGTACAGTACATACATGTTTTGAAATTTTAATCACCTATGTGTCTCGGGTGCCTGTTAGTGTCGATCGACTCGATCCCTGCATACATTCACCTTATACCAGTTTTTCCTAACTGAGATTCACAGACTTAGACTGTCTCGTTTTTGTTTTGGAAGTCAAGTACTGAAGGCAACACTTTTTCTCACTCATTTCATAACTGTACAGGCAAGACCTCATCAACCCTGGTGATGCAGGATGTAGTCCTCCACCGTCGGTTCGCCAGTGATGGCAAGGCCTGCATCAGACTGCCCAAGAAGTGCCTTCAGGTGATGATCTCTAACTGCCCTCCACATCAGCTCAAGTCATTCCTCAAGAGCTTAGCCCTCAAGATGGCATGCAAGAAGACGGATAAGGTTGGTCATATACTGATCAGGGTGTCGTGGTTTATATTCAATTGAATGTGAATTAATTAGAGGTCATGGGCTTGAGCTAAACCTTGATGCATGGCTCTGGCTAGCTTTTGTAAAACATTCATCTGAAAATGTAATTTGAATTTAGCTAGAATATATTTTCATTTCATTTCGTTTATTTTCATATTTCTCATGTATACATTTCAAATAAAGTACAAATTGTTTTTTCAATAATACATAATACAATAAATAACAAAGATAAGTGGTCAATATGGAGTACTGATTTAACTAAGAGAAATATGATGGGACCTACATGAAAGCAAGCTTGTAAAGCTGTAGACCCCAGTGAGATAATTTGTGGTAATAAATGGAGGACGGATATAAAAGTGACCAGTGTAAATGAATCAAAAAAGAAAAAAAGAAATAATAATAAACATGCGGTGGTGCTGTTTATATTGTCCCTTCCTTTCTTACAGTGTAGACAAAAGTACACGTATTTAAATCGTACAATGGGTGCTCAGCTGGTAAACGAACATTACAGATAATAATAAAATGATTACAAACCAACTCCTCCCATAAACCTTGCCTGGCATTCTATCTAGGTAACAAATAAGGACGATGAAGAAAATATAAAATAACATTGCATATATAGGGCTCGCACAAATCCCAAGCCTGACTTGGGTTTTGTTCGTGCCCTGTTCTTTCCGAGTGTGTACGTACATGTATGCCTGGAATATTTGTAGTCTACTCGGCCAGACGTTTTACTGTTCACTGAGGGTGTATTTAAACTGTAATATTTTGTTGTAGAAGTATTAATGTATTTGAAACTATATTTTTTATACAGTATAGACTTAACATGACACCCCTTACATCAGGAGCAAAGCCTGTTTTGAGGATAATTGATACACTATAACGACACTCAGGCGCAGATCCAGGATTTCTTAGGGGTGGGGGCCCAATTTTTATTTTGTTTTGGCCCTCGAAAATTTGCACCCCCCCCCCCCCCCTTGAGCGCCAGGGGGGGGGGGGGGGCAACTCCCAAAAAAGGTAAAATTAACATGTTTTTACACATTTTTTTTTCCTTAGGGTGGGGGTCGGGCCCCTCATCCCCCCTGGATCCGCCACTGATGACACTCTAAACCCAGTAATGGTAATTGAGTACCAGCTGGCAGTTCATGTAATACTAGATCACCTTGCATTGAAAGCCTTGCTAGCTTTAGTATTAAAGCACAGAGCCTGGAGTTCATGTATGAGAGATATTTTCCCTATGTGGCATGTAGTATTACCATCTTTCAGATTTTATCATAATCGATTGCCTCATCGAACCTGTGATCAAGTGAAGATGATCAATGTTTGGTAGACGTTCTTTTTGCTTCAAATAGTACCAAGAGAAATATTCCTCTCAATTTTTATTGTTGTTTTGGATGGTATTGACGTAATAACATAGTAAATTCAGATATGACATGAATACAAATCTTTACCAAAAGTTTGCACATAGACCCTAATTGCAAAAATAAAGAGTGAACCCAATTGCTATAAACCTGCCTGTCTCAAATTTCTGGTGTTACTCTTGATATGTTCTTACCCCGGCATAATTTGAATGAACATTTATCTTTTAACTATCTATTCATCCAATGTGTTTGTTTTTTTAATTACCAGGCAATAATTTTTTTGTTTTTGTTGAACTAACTGTTTCTCAGGTTGTCAGTGATAGAACCCGTCTGCTGTCTGAGCTACCCCAGCAGTTCAACGAGATCAGCCCCATGAACCAGGGTGATGTGGACACCGTCAACAACCAAAGAGCCAAGATAGCTGAAGCCAAAGGCACTTCTACCACCCCAGCAGCTAGGGCTAAGAAGAGGGGCAGGAATGGAATGGAAAAACCAGCTGAACGGGTGAGTTGATGGATTTGTCTAAAAAAGTAGTCACTTTGCAGTACTTTGGCAAATTCAGTACAATAATAATAATAATAGTACATTTATAAAGCGCAGAAACTATCCAACATTAGGTATATATTCTACTGCGCTACAAGAGCTCCTGATATGCTTAGATTTACGGTACAGTTAATTAAAAAGAAGTGTTTTCAGTTTTGACTTAAAGACGTTTACAGATGGTGATTTCCTGACTTCAAATGGCAAGTTATTCCAGAGTTTTGGGGCTGCACAAGCAAATGCTCGATCACCTGAAATTCATTAGATTTAGTGTAATATTGTTTTGAGAAGTTACTTCATGTTGTGTTTGTTTATTAAATTTTGTTGTTGTTGTGTGTGCAAAGACTCATTTTTATTTATCATGGTTTTACAAATAACATTCTACTTGTTTTACATTTCATATTGAAGAAAGGGCACAACCTTGACAAATAATAGCAAATTCATCAACATTGTTTCATGTATATGAGATTTTTCTAGAATAAAATTGAATAATTTGAACTTTGACATTTGACCTTTCCTCTCTATCCACCCCACAACCAAAAGGAGGCTCCTCGCAAGAAGCTCCATCTGAACACATTGCATAAGACGCCCCCTCTGTCCAACGAACAGAAGAGGGTTCTCAATGCTGTCCTGTCCAGGCAGAGCATTTTTTTCACGGGTAGCGCTGGGACGGGAAAGTCTTTCTTGCTTCGGCACATCATCAGTGCCCTCCCACCGGATTCGACCTTTGCCACTGCGAGCACGGGGGTGGCAGCTTGTCACATCGGAGGGACAACATTGCATCAGTTTGCAGGTTTGTAACTAAAGGAGTCTGCGGAGCTAAAGCACCTACTTCAATTTTTTTGTTCCCTTTCGTGGCTCATAGATAAAAAAAAATTGTTTTAAAAATAAATTTAATATATTATAGTAAATATTTAGTCTTTTAGTTAATTTTTTCAATTTTTTGTTTGTATACTTGCAATTTCCCATCTAAAATAAGACTAGGGAACAATAGTTGAACATACTAGTACTGATTATTAGTTATAGTCCCATTCAAGCATAAATGACAGCATTGAAAGCAGTATTTTTGAAGAATAGTGTCTGATGAAATTAAGTTTTAACTACCAGTAATCTGACTGTACTTTTGTCACAAGATTGGTATAAATTGTTCCATTTACTCAAATCAATGATGCCATTACAACATCTGCATTAAGGCATGATGTTCATCAGTGTTGAAGTTAGAAACAGTTCTTTAGTGTTTTACACTTCCATTCTCCCATTTTCTATGTAGGTATAGGTTCAGGCACAGGACAACTTCCACAGCTCATTGAACTAGCATCAAGGCCTACCAGGAGACAACAGTGGCGTAAATGCAAGCATCTGATTGTTGACGAGATCTCTATGATTGACGGGGATTTCTTCACCAAACTTGAGGTTAAAAGAAATTGAGTGTATGCACACAGTTATGAAATAGTGTTAAAGGGGGTCCATGTGATCAGTACAGCTCAGATGCATACAAAATTCCAAATATTCATGACGGTATTCTGAAAAACATATTATCTTAATGTTTATGAGATATTTATAAAGCGCACATATCCACCCTGCAAGGTGCTCAAAGCGCTCCAATATTACCCCGGCTCTGCTAGGCTACAGATTTCGGTGCTCACAGCATTCAAAGAATTCCTTCCTACCGGTCCCCATTTACTTCACCTGGGTGGAGTGTGGCAAATCTAGATCAATGTCTTGGCAAAGGACATTAGTGCCGCGGCGGGATTCGAACCGTGGACCTTGTGATCGACATTCCGGCAACGCATCCACTCATCCACAACACCTCTAGAAGTTAAAATTATGTTTTTCTTAAGAATTCTGAAACCCTGGTCATTTAAGGAGTTGAAGTTCCATTACATGCATGATCTTAAGATTATTTTTCCTACCGTAATTAACGGTGATTTAACCGCACCTTTTTGCCTCCAAAAATAATTCAAAGTCGGGGGTGCGGTTTATACACGGTACACAAAAAAGTTTTTATTTATGCCCCTCCATCTGGCGCTATGCCTGGCAATGTCTCATGTTATTATCAAATGTGACAAAATTGTGTCATAACTATAGAATTATCTCAGTTCAGAAAAAACCTCTGGGACAATGTGCCAAAAGGTTTTTGCAAAACGGAGAGTAGCATTTCTTCTTTTAGAAATGAGGCAACATGTGTGCTTAGTTTCATATTCTGCATGGAACAAAGAATAGTTATTTATTATGATTAAGAATGATTGTTGTTGTACATGTATGTCCTCAGGCTGTAGCACGAGTAATCAAGCGCTGTGATGAGCCGTTTGGTGGAATTCAGTTGATCCTGTGTGGAGATTTCTTGCAGCTACCACCAGTCGTTAAAAGAGGAGAGAAACAGAAGTTCTGCTTCCAGGTAAATACATTCTGGTTTATTCCTAACCTGCCTCACATCTTGGATTCAGAAGAGGCACAAGTCTCACAAAAGAGGGAAAATAGTTATCACATTTTTTAGAAGCAAAAATTAAGTGTAAAATTTGACAAGCAAAAAGTTGGTCATTAAATTTGGCTGAGGGCACACAAGTACATACTTTTGTTCATGACTGTTACTTTTGACTTCTGTGCACATGTTATAATTTGCCTCAGATAAATTCTTATCTCTTCTGTATAGGTTCTGTTGTGTAGGTTCCCATTTCCTCAATACAAGTGATACAGTCCAACTTCTCTATAAAGGCCACCTGGCTATAGTGTCCATGTTTTTTGTCTCCCCTGAGAAAGAGATGTACGTTGTAGAACCTGTCTACAGTGGCCATATTTTTTGTTCCCTAGAGTGACCTTAGTAGACAGGTTTTACTGTACTGGTATGTTCATGGCACATATATTATGTGTTGCTGCAGGTACATGAATCGTTAGATTTCTTTGCTATATTGTGCTCCGTTTGTGACATGTACATGTACTTCTAATTTGTTCATACTCTATAACAACATGTTACAAGTCTTTTGGTACAGTGTGCCCTTCACAATAACCTGTCACTGATTTTTTTAAACTCTTTTATGAATCCAGTCCCCAGCGTGGCATCGCTGTATTCAGGTGAACTTTGAACTGATGGAAGTGAAACGTCAGAAGGATCCAGCGTTCATCAACATCTTACAGAAGATTAGAGTCGGACGGTGAGCACTTTAACCCTAAAAAGACTTTTTTTCTCCAGAGGTTTGAGAGCTGAGGGCCGTGTGCCCCTTAATCCTTACTGTACTGGGCTATTTTGAGCACCCTCTGACTGGGGGGGGGGGGGCATGGGAGGCCCCCCCCCCCCTATGATCTCGGCCGTCAAATGTCCGATGAACACGAAAATTTGCATATTTGTAGATATTTACGTAAGGAACAAGATGGTATAATTAGTTTTTTCCTAATATGCAAATTCTTGTCGTTATAGCCTAATTAATTATGCAAAATGCTAATTTTATGCATTTTACAGAAAATGCTACATATTTGTCCGTAGACTTGTGAAGAATCTTGAAAATGTATTGAATAAATGTTTCCTTCATCTCAAATTCATGAGGTTTCATTATTTTTATGATATTTGAAAATGCATAGGTTAATTTGCATAAATTATGAATATGCAAATTACACATTCATGAATATCAAATCAGGAACTATATTTAGGGAACTAGAATCATTACAAAAATTTTCAGACTCCACTTTATGAATGTTGAAACTCATTATTCATATGAAATTTCTTTTCTAACACAAAATAGTTATTTGTTAATAATGATAATTAATGCAAATTTGATGCGATTTTCAACTATTTATTTTCTTATGTATTTTATTGTTTTTTATTTCTTATTATATCTATTGTTTTATTTCTAATGTATTCTTTTGTTCTGGAATACATCAAGTTACTCTGAGAAACATATAAAGGCAATTTCATATCAATTCATATCTTCACATTTCTGCTTGTACATGAATATATGCAATTATAGCACTTTTTTTATTGACATGCGCATACTAATTGTTATGTAACACCTTACATGTATATCCGATTTTGACGAAAATGGTATCAAAATGTGCGCAAGACTTGAGGGAAAAAAGTCATGAAACGGCAATTCAAAATTCCAAGCGGTTGCGGCGCGATCTCCGAAAATGTCGAGGGGGGGGCCTCCCAGGCCCCCCCCCCCCCCCCCCCCCCCCCCCAGTACAGTAAGGGTTAAGATCTCAGCCTTGGAGTGACCGATTGTCAGGAATTTGCATACATCTTCAAAATTATGACAGCAATTTTGCCAACATATATTCAGAAGTAAGGAGTTAAAGCCTAATGAGACTAGCTACCTGGGCAAATGATTTTATTATCCTTATTGATAATCATTATTTAGGCTGAAAATGTTTAATTATTGTTATATCCCCCCCCCCCCCTCCCCCCACCAGTTGTGCAATTTGTGTACAGTAGATTAGGACATTGCCAAGTGAGAGTTCTGGTGTAAACCTTGATTACTACAAACATGCTTGTATAATCTGAAATTGCTGTATAAGAATAGCATATGTAGGATTTCCATTTATTCTGTTTGCATTTCACCCAGCCAATTTGAGAAACTTTGTTCAGGAGATTGGGACATTGCCAAACGACAGTTCTGATGAAAACCTTGATTACTTTAAACATGCTTGTAGAATCTGAAATTGCTGTATGAGAACAGGTGATGTATAATTTCCATTTATTCTGTTCACATTTGATGCAGTTGTTCTGCTGAAGTTACTGACTGTTTGACAGGTACAGCCAAGCACTGCGTGGACACAGAAGGCATTCATGCTACCAGGTTGTGTACTCACAAGGAAGACGTAGACCAACTCAACAATGTTCACCTCAACAAACTCATAGGTTAGTTAAACTGAGCTTCATCCTCTCTGACCTCTTCAGTTGACTTAAAGGGAGTGCAGCCTGACGAGACTACGTGACTTTCCCGTGGCCTGACTCGGGGCCAATCGGGTATAGTACGACTACAGACAACACGACCGCAAGGAGAACTCCGGTCCGTTTTGCGAACGCTAGTGCATGCTGACCATGTAGAGATTAAGTCGCTGACTTCCTATAATCAAGTCCATTCGTTTACGTGGAGTTGTCCAAAAGAAGACGTAGATGGCGTTAACCAGTATTTGCCAAGCTACACTCCCTTTAACCCTTACTGTACTGGGGGGGGGGGGGGCCTGGGAGGCCCCCCACCCCTCGACATTTTCGGAGATCGCGCCGCAATTGTTGGAATTTTGAATTGTCGTTTCATGACTTTTTTCCCTCAAGTCTTGCGCACATTTTGATACCATTTTCGTCAAAATCGGAGATACCTGTAAGGTGTTACATAACAATTAGTATGCGCATGTCATCAAAAAAGGGCTATTATTGCATATATTCATGTACAAGCAGAAATGTGAAGATATGAATGGATATCAAATTGCTTTTATATGTTTCTCAGAGTAACTTGATGTATTCTAGGACAAAAGAATACATTAGAAATAAAACAATAGATATAATAAGAAATAAAAAAACAATAAAATGCATAAGAAAATAATAATTTGAAAATCGCATCAAATTTGCATAAATTATCATTATTAATTACATGAAATAACTATTTTGTGTTAGAAAAGAAGTTTCATATGAATAATGAGTTTCAACATTCAAAAAGTGGAGTCTGACAATTTTTGTAATGATTCTAGTTCCCTAAATATAGTTCCAGATTTGATATTCATGAATGCGTAATTTGCGTATTCATAATTTATGCAAATTAACCTATGCATTTTTAAATATCATAAAAATAATGAAACCTCATGAATTTGAGATGGAGGAAACATTTATTCAATACATTTTCAAGATTCTTCACAAGTATATGGACAAATATGTAGAGTTTTCTGTAAAATGCATAAAATTAGCATTTTGCATAATTAATTAAGCTATAATGACAAAAATTTGCATATTAGGAAAAAACTAATTATACCATCTTGTTCCTTACGTAAATATCTACAAGTATGCAAATTTTCGTGTTTATCGGACATTTCGACGACCGAGATCATAGGGGGGGCCTCCCAGGTCCCACCCCCAGTCAGAGGGTGCTCAAAATAGCCCAGTACAGTAAGGGTTAAAGATAAGACACTAAGTGATAATTGGATGATGCAGGCCTATTAAATTTACAATGGACTTGTTATACTCCCTCAAGTCTCTCATTTACAAATACCAGGGTTGAGATAAAAAATTGCACATAAATTGATGTGAAGGTAACCTTTTGATTTATACGTCGAACACAATCCATGCACCTCCTTTATCATAAAAACAATTAATCACACCTACTTCCTCAGCCATCAAAAGGATACTTAGAGCATTTGAGTTTTCTAATACCGTATTTGCCGGTGATAAGGCCGCACCGCCGAATAGGCCGCACCCCCGATTTTGACGTTTAAAAAAAAAAATTGTCAAAGTCGGGATTTGATCTCTTGCATACAAATATTGATTTGACGAAAATCACCGCCATAGACCGCTCGGCCATCACGCACTGATGCTAGCTTATGTAGTTTTTTGTGATGTATACATTGCGCCTCTCTCTTGTGTATTGAAATGGATTCAAAATAGCGACTCTGCGTGTTGGATACTTCGCGGCGGCTCCGTTAAACGGGCCCTTCTTTTACTTTTGCAATGCATTGGCACGAACTTAGATCAAGATCTATCGGCAGATGTTGTTTTTGGAAGTTAATTTTCGTCTTCATGTCAACAATGCAAGATAAAATTGTTGGTAAGATGTGTGGAAATGTGTAGTTATTGTACCGTTCGAAGATCTAGTCCCATATGTGCAAATTCGTGGTGGTTTTGACTTACTTTTTTTTTTTTTTTTTTTTTTTTTTTTTTACTCTTTCGTCGCATAGGCCGCACCCTGACCTTTTGATATTTTCTCTTCCAAAAATACTGCGGCCTTTACGCCGGCAAATACGGTATGTGAATTACTGGAAAACAAACTATCCTGTTTCCAAAACTGTTTTAATTTTCATGTTTCAGTTAACCATTTGTGTTACATAGATTTTAGAGCAGTTATATTTCTATTCCACTCTGGTATTATATCTACAACACTTGCAATGAGACATTAAAAAGCACAATAGTCAGTGTTTAAAGCTTCATGCAATTTTTATTGAATCTGTGGAATTTCTTTACTTTCTAAGGAGTTTGCGGGTAAAACTGTAAAAATACCATGCCAGATGGTGCTAATAATTTAAGATTCATGACATTTTTAAAGGATTATTCTCTAAAAATTACCCAAAACCAACCAGATATTTCTGAAGATTAACTGGTTTTGGAGCAATTGCGATGATACAGGATGAGTTGAGAGTATGATTATGCATGGTATTATCTTGTTGCTCCTTTATAGGCGATGTGAGGGTGTTTGAAGCGATGGACAGTGACCCTTCACTTGTTAAACAGACCAACAGTCAATGTCCGGTCAGGCAAAGGATTGACCTCAAGATTGGTGCACAGGTACAGTGTGTTCTTCATTTTTGTTGGTGTGTTTTGATATGTTAATATTTTAATTTCAAAACGAGTGTTGGTTCAGGTTAAGGATATGCTGAAGATGTTGTTTAGGGGCTAAGTTCATCTCTCATGAAATCATACATTAAATTTTTGCAATAAGCTTTTTAAAAAAAATACATGAGGACAATATCATTCAGATATTCCTGTGCAGCTTGACATATCCTTTCTACTGTCATATGTTTATTCTGAAAGAGATAATAAGAAACGAGTGACACCTGTTTCATGACCCTCTCAAACTTTATACGACACGGCAGTACTTGTAACTAAGTCTAATTTATACGTAGTGATGAGAATGAACAGAATTTGCTACATTTTTAGAAAGTCCAAGAACTGATGAGAGTTTCTTTAAATTAAATTCACTGAAAAGCACAACTCTTATAATGCTGCATGCTGTGCACTCTGGACTTCTTTAGCTCAATATACTTGTCTTTCTTTGCTCGTACATTAATTCACCTGTGGTGCATTATTTTACATTTCCTACTAAAGTCATTTTGCAGACATTGATAGTTTTAGTTTTACCATGCAGTGTATGTGTAGTTTGATTTTGTGAGAATTTATTTTCAGTCAGTTCCAGAACCCATCTTATAAAGAGTTGCGATTGATCCAAATCGATAGCAAGTTTACAGTCACCTACCTTTTATGTACATATTTGCAATTGATACTTTATAAGACAGGCCCTGAAAAATTAATCTCTAAATGCATTGTGTAATATGTCTAATCATTAAGAAGAAGACTGATACAGGTATCGCGGTTTAGTAGATAGGTCATCAGACTGTGGATCCCATGGTTCCCAATTCGATTTGCACTTTGGCACTAGTGTCTTTTAATGAGACATTAATCTGCATTTGCCACTCTCCACCCATGTGATGTAAATGGGTACTCGGTAGGAAGAAATTCCTAGAATGCCAGGGCGCCTTATCAGGGCCGCTCTGGTAATGCCAAGTACAAGGCTAAGAAACATAAGAATCAAGTGCTATCTGAATTTTACTTTAATTATTATTATATTTCTCTTAGTTAAATCAGTACTCCATACTGACCACTTCTCTTTGTTATTTATTATGTATTATTGGAAAAAAACAATTTGTACTTTACCCTATTTGAAATGTATATGTAACATGAGAAATATGAAAATAAAATAAATGAAATGAAATGAAATTATTATTATGAATATCCTCCTCACAGGTTATGCTAGCCAAGAATCTGGATGTACATAAAGGTCTAGTGAATGGAGCAAGGGGAGTGGTCACCGGCTTCGAATCAGGGATGAAAGGTAAATGAAAGCTACTTATTCTTGTTTTTCTTGTGTGATTTGAAAGTATAGTGCATTTTGAGATCTTGTGGGCAAGTCAAACCTTTTGTTTATACCAGCTACAGCAAAATTTGTAATATACCCAGTGTTCTTGCCAGTGCATATCAATCTTGGTGCTAAGACTTAAAGAGAAGGTGGAGTTCTGGGAAGAGGTGGAAAATAATTTGTGAGCATTATCATTCTTATGCAAGTGTGGAAGAACATCATATAAGACATGTTCCCTGAAAACCATGGCTCTTCAAATGCCTTCATATTCGAAATATGTCATGTAACATCCTAAAACTCGGGGGGGGGGGGGGGAGGGGTAGGATTTTTACGCCACATGTTCGTGCACTCCCATGTACATTTTTCTGTGTACAGTGTTTGTAACTTACCAAGACTTGGCCAAATTTCTTATCATTTTGATGATTCCAGAACCTTGCAATACACACAAATTCTTATATGCTAGATGATCAACCTTTTCTGGTCGATTCCACACCGATGCTTTCACAATGCAATCCATGACCAGAACTCAACTTCATCTTTAAAGCATTAGGAAAGATAGTACATAAATGTCATGGAAAATTCTTTCCTGAGAAGAATATTAAGCATGTGAAATTATATATTTCAACCTGCACAATTGCTTTCAATCATATAAAACACCATACAAGGATTCCACAAAAGCATTATCAACTTAATTAGGACAGAGGGTAAAAATAGTCGCACTGAGACACCCAAGTGAAACTTGTAGTTTGTTTTCTGATAACAAATATTCATTCCATGGGTGTCTTTTTTCAGGCTTTTACCTTAGTTTGTCATCTCTCATTTTCATTGTTCTCAGTATTTTGTACAGAGTACAGAGTTGAATAGACACAGATTTGAGAAATACATTACCTTTTCTGTTGTTATAACGAATGAGATCTCTATCACTTTTCTCTTTCTATCTTTTATATCTTTCTATCTCTTTTGATGTATGTCCTTCTCTCTCTCTCTCTCTCTCTCTCTCTCTCTCTCTATCCCCTCTCTCTCTCTCTCTTATCTCCCCTTCACACTCCCCACCCCTCTCGTCCCACATAGGTAACCCCAAGGTGCGGTTCATGTCTGGTCTAGAGGAGGTGATAAGACCGGAGCGCTGGTCCATGTGCATCGGTCAATCTCTGATCCTCACCAGGAGGCAGCTCCCTCTCAAGCTAGCCTGGGCCATCTCCATCCACAAAAGTCAGGTAAGCCCTCAATGTTAATAGTTAAATTGTCATTTGGTCCGATGACAATTGTCCTTTCCCCATCTCATCCAGTCGCATTTAAGCTTAATCCCCTTTGTCTATTGTTTAAGGATTGATTAAAGATTGTTTAATTCTGCTGATGACCAATCAGAAGCAAGTATTTCACTAGCTTATAACAAAAACTGTTTTGTCACTGATGTCAAGTTTTGTGAACCCCCCCCCCTCCCCCCAGTTCTTATTTTTTTCCTTTACCCATTGTACATCTAGCAGATTATCTGCCATTTAGTTCCATCTTCACTTGGTCAAATGCACATCTCGGGGCCGTATTTAGTTCAGTAGATGACTTAAGTCAGTACTGGTATTCAAATTAGCATCTTGCTTGGCTCAGTATTATGCATTTACTTGTAATTATACATTTTAAGTAATGCCCTATGGGAGAAGGCACTTAAAAAAAATAGTAATTAATGATACTTTTGTTCACTCGCAAACAGGAGAGTTGTCCATGTCTACGTCACAATTCAATAAACGAATTGCCAATTTGAGATTCTTGTAGGTTTAGTGAGCTCATATTTCAAAAATTCATAACGCTCTGATTATTTGTCCACTATTCTGTTTCTCAGATTTGTCTGTTTTCATAAAAATGAACTCTTTAAAAAATTGGATTGCTCTTTAAAACATTTGAAGGGACAGGATTTACAAAGATTGAAATCCATCACCTTTTTCCCAATCATTTTGTCAGGGCATGTCTCTGGACTGTGTAGAGATCTCCCTCTCCCGTGTCTTTGAGTGCGGCCAGGCGTACGTCGCCCTCTCCAGGGCTACCAGCTTGCAGGGGCTCCGGGTCCTGGACTTTGACGGGAGCTGCGTCAGGGCGCATCCAGACGTGATCCGGTTCTACGTCCAGCTGCGGAAAGAGCAGAGGCACTTGCAGCAGACTTCCATCCGACGATACGGTACAGAGGACAAAGAAAACTATTCATGATGGGACTATTGAAGCTATTACTTGTCCATCTACGTTTGTAATAGACAGTGGGTCTGCTAGATTTTCAATCGCAGTAGACCTTGATCTGATACTATGACAATCGATCAGCAGGAGAGAGAAAGCTTTGGGCCAGAGTATTGACGCTCCTGTGTACCTCTACTAGGCCTGATACAGTACAATGATGCCCGTATATAAAGACTGCTCAAGGGAGTCAAGAAAAGTGGTCCCTATAGGTAGGTGGTCTTTATGTACAGGTGCCAATTAGAACCAATCTCAGGAGATGTGGTCTTTCTAACCAGGTGGTTGCTACAGCAGGGTTCTCTGTATTTCTTTGTTGGTGCAGCTCATCAAAACTTGGGAAACAGTGCAATGTTATCTTGTGCCTACGATTAGTGGACATTAGCTGTGATGAAATAAAGTCTCACTAGAGTGACACTGCTGATCATTAAAAACTTGTGAACCTCTTGTACTAATTCAAATCTGATGCTGCAACAATAAGAGTAAAGCACTTGCCATTAATTGGTCTTGTATGCCTGGTACAGAGTCACTTTGCCATTGGAGACCATCAAACACCTGTGAAACTCTTCAATAGATTTCAGTCCGTTGCTCTTTGGTAATCAGGAAATGAGAAACTGTATGGGATGATTGCAGCTATAAGATGTATGCCTGCCGAAGGAACACTCTGTTGATTCAGAGTAATATTATTGAAAACATTAACAACATAGACTATGAATGGGATTACTGAAGCTCGTAATTAGCTACTTGCCTGCCAAAATCTCGCTTGGTGATGAGTTTTAAAAAATCTGCCACATTCTGAACGTGTGTCACTGCTATTAATAATTTATTGATTGCCGTTAGCCCGTAATGACTGATGTTCCTTGTACTACTAATTGAGATAATATTCATTTGCCACCACCACCCAGGTGAAGTAAATGGGTACCTAGTAGGAATTTATTCTTGAAATGCTAGAGCGCCGTATGGCAGCCGTGCTAAAGCCAGGGTAATAATCGGGAGCGCCAGGAGGGTCAAATCTGACTGACAAGAGCGCTATACAAGAACCCACTATTATTATTATTATTATTATTATTATGTGATTAGTTTCATCTCATTTTTGGAAAATAACATATGAATATGATTTTCTCATTGACCAAGTATCTTGTTGTGCTCAGCACATTTTTGACAGATATTTAATCCATTCATGAAAAAGACCATGACCAGAATCTCATTTTTAAATTAATTTTGAATCTCACCCCTCTTTGTGTTATTTTTTATAAATTTCCTACATTTTTTTTACTTAGTAAAACAAATTCATTGGTGCTACATGTATATGTATTCAAAGATTAAATGACCTGCTAAAAAAAAAAATCACTGACATTGAAATGTAATTGATATATTTATGTTTATCACTTTTTATGGAAGTCATGTGTGTGTGATATTTATTTTCTGAAAGAACGTGCCAGTGACAGTCATGAAGAAAAAAATAATGTGTATTTCTGTCGTATTGCATGTTTTTATATTTTGTATTTTTGATATGCAAAATAAATTTTTTCAAAATTGAAACTCAAGTTTTACTTTGAGTTTTTGTTAACATGATCATCGTTGTTAACTGAGAGAGTGCACACTCATGTAAGTTCAATTCAATTCAAAGTTTATTCAACACTCTTCATAAAAACATTTAAAACATACAAATACAGAATGGAATGTTCAAAAAACAAGATACTGATAACAAATAATGGCAATTTATGAGAGCATTTGGGATAGGCAGAGAGGAAGGATTCCTTATATGAAAGCCTACCCCTAACACACATACAGGAAAAAAATAACAAGATCAAAAGGACAGAACAAAAAACATACTATACCTATTGAAGTAAAGGAGGGCGAGTCTAAAGTGAAGTCCTGTACAATATATTTAAATTGTTGGTGTATATTGACTTGATCCTTCTTTAACCTGATTGGAAATGTATCTCTTGTTCTATATTTATTTTTTGTCAGGAGAAATCCTGCTAGATATGGCAACTTTGTATCTTTTGTTGCAAAATGATTTATTTTTTTGAAGAGAAGGGCGAGTGCTGGTGAAGGTGAAAACAATTTCTGAGCTTTCTGTATTTTTATTCCTGTGTAGGAGAATATCAACGTAGCAAGCAATGTCCAATATAAAATGGAATCGCACTTGAAATTCCTTCATTGCGACTGGCAATTAAAGATAAACTTGAGTTCTGGTCATGCGATTGCATTGTGAAAGAAAAGGTGTGGAATGGATCAGAAAAGTTGATCATATAGCATGTAAGTAATGGTGTGTAATGCAGGGTTCTGGAGTCATCAAAATCATCATAAATTTGGCAGAGTCTTGGTAAAGTAACAATCACTTACACAGAAAGACGTATATGGGACAACACACATGGTGTCGGGGCTAGTACTACCCTGATTTCCTTATCTTTCTATGCTCATTACTCAGCCAGTATACATTTTCTTCCAAAATTGTTTGGCACATGACATTTATTTGTATTCTTGAACATTCAGTGTAAGTTTCGTTAGATTCTGTGAGAATTCATTTTATTTTTTTACCAGAACTCAAGTTTATCTTTAAAAACATAAAATGAAAACGCTTTTGAGGAATATGGAATTATACTAAAATGCATGAATACAACTTGCAGGGTTGCACTGAAAGGTCTATATGTTCAGATGATATCAAATACATTAAGATTAATAAAAAAAAAAGAATAGGAAATTTTAATGTTAAGCTAACAAAAATATGCTTATTATTAGATTGGAATGTAGAGGGGGAGGGGGGGGGGGCTAAGACGTGAAGGGAGAGAGAGAGAGAGACAGACAGATGAGTAGTCGATATAGAGAGAGAGAGGAAGAGGGGACTAATAGAGATCGACAGACATAAAGAGGGGGAGGGAGAGCCAACTCGAAGCGATGGAGACAAATTATGTGTGTATGGTGTTGGTGAATGTGCGAAGTGTTTATTATAGGCAAGCAGTCATACAAGGGTGCGCGCTGTACATGTGTGTGATATAAATATGAAAGAGAAATAAGAGAAGAGATAGGGGAGCACAGAACCAGGGTGATTATTCTTAATTAATTAATTTATTATAAATATATATACACAGAGTAAGTCAGAAAAAAATGTCCCACTTTTCAAAAGTTGTGTCGTTTAAAATATGAATGATCAAATATTCTTACTCCAAACGATACAACTTTTAAAAAGTGGGACATTTTTTCTGACTCACTCTGTATATATATATATATATATATATACACTGTCACTCATATAGTTGGAATATTTTTTTTTACCTCAATTTATGGAATTATTTTTGACAATGATTTATTCCAAAGATCTAGATAATATTATACCAGGGACTTGATAGAGAAGAACTGGAATCAAGCCGGCGAAACTCTTGTTATTTATTCAACGCATTCGCGAGTTCTAAAGCGTAACAATGGGATGTGTAACATTCCACTTGGCTTTGAAGTTCCACGCTCCACATCGCGCTTCCACTGCGGGGACTTTCGGAAGCCGGGCACCAGTTTTACATTTATTACAAAATATTAAATTACCGGCAAAATGTCAGTGTAAATCAAAAACTTTATATGGGGATTGTATTGGGAATAGTGCATCAAACACATTTCCAAATTTAGAACTCCGTCCTTCCTATAATTTGTGTGCCAGAGTTGGTAAAAGAAAATTTACATCCTGACAAAAACTCAATAGTTTAGGATAATGCGCTAATTTGTGCATGTTTTAATGTCCTGTTATTTGATCCATGATTTACAATCTTTAATAACATTAAGTTTGCTAATGCGTGTTTTTGCGTGTTTTTTGTATTTTTTAAGTTAAAAAAAGGATGAAATTACACAAATTTGTGTTCGCTTGTTCTACTCTTTACACATTCAACAATGGATGAGAAAACATTGAAAGGGACAGCGAACAGTTGCTGTGATACCATTTTCTGATGTAGAAATTCTAAATCCTGAAATTCATGCGCTCTTTTATCTCACCACCTGGTCAGCAGTTGCAGATTAGCGCATAACTTTTCGGCGGCTTGGACTTGGAGCATGGGGTCAAAGGAGAACGGCTTGATTCCAGTCCTTCTCTATCAAGTCCCTGATTATACATTCTCAGATGTTATTGATACTGTAGCATCAACAGGAAGACAAAGGCAATGGTGATGTATTGTACATATGTATGGAAGCATGCAATTCTAATTTGAACGTGTCCTAAGCTGGGGAAATGACATACCATTGTCTATTCTAGAATACTAGTTCAGTCTGACATGTCTGACATAGCAACTTATATGTTGCTATTGCTTGTGGTATTGTAACCGGTGGTTACATGCCACTTTCTCAAGTTAGCTAATTGATGACTGACATATGATGTCACAAGAAGAATAAGATCTGGAGGTTTTGGGGGTGGAGTTTAGCAAGTTTGAAAAGCAAATATTTCAAAAAATATTTACAAATTTATGAAACAAATTCAGAAGTTAACATATCAAAATATGAGATGTATGCAGGGCTGCACACTTACAGGAATACACTTGTATTGCGATGTCATGGGCCATTTAAGCGTTTTGTAATTTATAATAATCATTATTCGAATGTTTCCAAGCATTGAATTTTGATATCCATGTCAAATCAAAGTTTCAACTTTGCAATAACATAAACAAAGTTAGTTTTTAAAATCAATGAATATCTACTTTAATAAATGATTATGCTGATTTTGATTGGTCCTCCTGCTTTTATCTAGTCTGTCTTGTGCTTGTAAATCTTTACAATGTATCTCTATGTCGGAAATGGTACACAATCTAAGTTAACTCTAAAGCCTAGTTCAGATATGACATGGAAAAACCGCAGCAGCATCTTTATGATCATATTATTTATTTAGTATTCATACATATTTATACAGGTACACAAGATCAGAAATAAATCTGTTTTACATATTGGACCTGGTATTAAAAGCATAGTATAAAAAGTAGTAACAATGAGAATTCAGTATTCAGAATTCAAGTATAACAAAGTAAAATACAGAATAAATACAAAGTAATACAAAATATGGTAACACAACAATTCAGGTCCATAACAAAAATGATTATAAATATGAATGGTGGCTACATATAACAATATCAAGTAGAAGTTTAAAGAACAAAAATATAGTCATATATGCAAATGCAAGGTTTCAGCTTAGAGGTTGGGGTCATTACAATGGATTCGATTTTGATTTTTTGTACAATAATTTGAAAATATCCAGAGACTGAGCATTTTGAAAGTTATTTGGTAATAGATTCCATACTTTAGCACCGGAATATTTTAAAGACTGACAGTAGAGTTGAATGTTTGGTTTAGGCGGCACAACATTAAGGGAATTGGCATTACGTGTATTCAATCCATGTCTGTCGAAATACATTTCAATCTCATTGCATAAACGGGATGGTGCAAGACCGTGGACACATTGGTACATTAGTGTAGATAGAAAATAATCACGTCGATCCTCTATTGTTTGCCAAGACAGATTTTTCATCAGATCAAGACCAGAGATATTAGTATAATCATGATTACTTGTTACATGACGAGCTGCCCTTTTTTGGAGTCTCAATAGGGGTAATTTTAATTTATTAGGACAGTTACCCCAAACTGAGACACCATAATCAAGACAAGGTTGAATAGTAGATTTATATATCGTATTCAAAAGTGTCATGTCTAAGAATTTTCCTAATTTTCCAAGGCAATAAATCTTGTATGCAACTGACTTACATAACTGTCTTAAATAATCATTCCATTTCAGGTTTTCATGAATAATAATACCTAAGTACCTAATAGAATGGACTTGTTCAATGAGTTCATGGTCAATGTAAATATTTAGACATTCTGATGACTTAGTCGTAATTAACATTGTTTTGGTTTTACTTATATTTATCTTAAGACGGTTCCTTTTATACCAACTATTTAAAACATTCACTGTATTTTGTAAATTAAGAGTAACATCATGAATATTATCACCAGTAACATAGATAACTACATCGTCAGCATAGATAGAGCATACTGCATTATTAAGACCTTCAGATATATCATTGATAAATAATAAGAAGAGGACAGGGGCAAGTACACTACCCTGTGGAACCCCAACTAATAATTCCTTTATAGCTGAGTTCTTACCCTTGGAACAAACTAGTTGTTTTCTTCCAGTAATATAATTTGAAAACCATTTCATCTCTTTATCATATATGCCATATTTTTCTAGTTTGAATAAGAGTAAATCATGATCAACGCAGTCAAAGCATTTGGATATGTCAAGAAAGCATGACCCAACAAATTCCTTATTATTAAGGGATTCATGAAAATCGTCAATTACACGGTGTAGGCAGGTAATTGTAGAATGATGAGGGAGAAATGCATACTGGTCTACATTAATCATATCGTGTTCTTTTAGATAGTTAAGTAATTGTAACTGAACTTCCTTCTCTATCATTTTAGATACGTGGCAAACTACGGAAATCGGGCGATAATTAGTGATGTCATCTTTATTACCTTTTCCTTTATATACAGGGGTAGTGCGGGCG